GGAAGAAAACGACGATGACCAATATAACAATGTTTGTTCCCATTTTTCAACCAACGAGACTGTGGATTTTTATTGCAACAAGGACATGCATACACACCTTTGTACTCCAACCGAAAGGTTTCCATAAGCTGGAAAGTCATTTATTGTCCAAAGTGGTGCTGCGCGTAGCTGAAACATGCATTTTTCTATTGCATCATATGTTGGAACCCAGGACTCCATAATTCTTGAAGTTCATCAATGAGCGGCTGCAAATACACATCAATGTCGTTTCCGGAGCTCGAGGACCATCAATGAGTGTGGATAATATGAATGAAGGTTGTTTCATACATTGCCATGGTGGAAGATTATAGGGAATCAGAACAACCGCCCAAGTGCTATGAGCAATACTCATTGATTTGAATGGGTTGAACCCATCAGCAGCAAGTCCTAGTCGTACATTGCGACAATCAGCCGCAAAACTTGGGTTCTTTTCATCAAAACTTTTCCATGCTCGAGAGTCAGCTGGATGCCGAAGTTTTCCATCATCAATGCGTTCTTCTGCATGCCATCTCATCAAAGAAGCAGTTTTGAAGACATAAAAATCTTTGAAGCCTTGGTATTGAAGGAAAGTAGCGAACAACCTTTGCTGGAATCTTTTGTTCACTTTTACATAAATCCTCATTTTGCCCATTGAAGTGCTTATATCTAGAAGTCTTACAATGCTTGCATTTGTCATCATTTTCTGCCTCTTTCCAATAAAGCATACAATCATTAGGACAAGCATGAATCTTTTATAATCTAAACCCAAATCCTTGACAAGTTTCCAAGCTTCGTGGTAAGAACACTGGAAATAACTCACTTTGGAATGCCTCTTTTAGGATCTCTAACAACATTGTGAAAGAATTGTTACTCCATCGGCAAAGTGATTTCACATGCAACAAGCGAACAATGAAAGACAAAAGAGTGAAACTTTTACACCCAGAAACAACTCAGCCTCGGCATGTTCTAATAGTTTAAAAACTTTTCGTACCCTCATCAAATTGTTTGTCAAACTGTTCAGCTTCTCTATCCGGACTAGCACCATTGAAATTTTGATGAGCTCCAATATGGGAATATGAAGTCCCGAGTCCCTCATGTATCAAACCTTGCAGATCATCATTCTCTATTCTTTCTTCAAAAACAGTATCCAAATGTTGCTGATCTGTACTTATTCTTTTCCCCATGATGAACCCAATTAGAATAACTTTCAAAAAAACCATACCTCGAATGTGCAAGTGGACATCATCCTCGACAGGCTTTTGGAGTTCCGACACTTTCTGCATGGACACTTTATTTTCGAATTTGCTTGCTTGTTTTTGTAGGCAAAGTCAAGAAATTCTTCTACACCCGTCTAAAAGCCTCATTAGTCACTCGTGCTACTTTTATATGAATCCAGGATTTATCAATCTGTATATATGCATAAAAAACATAATACTTTAGAGAGTCTTCAGAATAATTAGAATGAATCAACTACAATGTCAACTAAATGCTTTGAGATTATAAAAGTTTGGGCAAACCAAAATAGCCTTCAGACCCAAAAGCGCAAATAAAAAGGTTAAAAATCAAAGAGACTAAACACACATTCTAGTTCAGAAAAATACAAAAATCAATCAATAAACTCAATTTATATCAAGTAGTGCCTCATCTAAGCTGCAGAAAATTAATAGCCATGACTCCCCAAACATGAGGGGAAATAAGTACTTGAAATGCACAAAATGTGAAGGAAGGGGCTACATAACCGAAAGTGGTTTAAGATATCAGCGTTGCTTTACTGTACTGTAAGAAAAATGATACCTTTGCTTCCTATTTTCCAGAATAAAAAATTGAAAGATTGCAGCAAATGGTGTGCCCATTCAAGTAAATTCGAAAATGATTATGATGTAATTTTTCTAATCAAAAGACTCCATTCAAGTAAAAATCACCCCTCAAACAATTATATCAAGTGGATTTGATAAATTGGCAAGCATGCAAAAGAAATGGATCGGATTACCTTCTTTGCGTCGTAACAATTCATCGAGCCAGCAAATTATTTACCAAATACAATGGATTACGGGTTAGAACATCAATTATGGTGAGATGAAAGATGGAAACCGGCGGGTGGGCAGGTGACAGGCGGTGGTCGCGCGTCGACGGGTTTAATTTCGATCGGTTGAGCTTCGGTGAGGTGAGCGGGTTTCTGGAGAAAAACCAGTTTTGATGTTGGGGTGGTGTTTAGTGCGTCTTTTTAGTTTGTAGGTGTTAGTAAAAGGGGAAAAAAAAAAGAAAAAGAAAAAGAGGAAGAGAATATGTGAGTGGACAAATGATAATTTGGGGCATTTACTTTCCTTTAGTATTATTTTTTATTTCTTATTTTGTATTTCTTAATAACCGTGAACCATAATGATCCCCATTTTATATAATGTCTCCTGCAATCAATCTTTCTTTTATGTGTGTTCTCTTTCTTTTTCTTCATTTTTCCAAATAGCTTTAAAAAAATACTCGAGGGACAGGGGAAAGAAAGATTTGCCATTATCTCTAATAATTTGGGTGTTGTATTTTGATGTGATGATCCCTCATTAATTTGGCTATATTAGATATGAATACTACTCTCTTTTTATATATTTTTTACTTTTTGTCATGTTTCCTTTTTAAATGAAGGGAATAAAACTTAAAAACACTTTTATTTTCTTGTCTTTTAAAATTTCAAACGGAGGGGAATTGAACAACACTTAGTGATTATGGTGTTTCACTGGAGTAAATTTTTTTTTAATCAAACAGATTCTAATTTTTTCATACCAAGATAAATGTTAAATTACACATTTACTATAATCTAATTAATGAAAAGGTGAAGTAAGGAATAAAGATCTTCACTTAGATATAATTAAACCTTTTAGGCTTCGCGTAAGGTAAAAAAAAAAAAATCAACCCAATCTGTCAACTTGAGCCTAATTTATTTTGATAGTCCTAGACTTTCGATAAGACCATAATTAATAATTACTTCAAATAAAAAAATTAAAATAATAACTACAAAGTACAAATATTTCTTAGACTGTGAATTATTAATACTTATTACTCCTTTTGTATAGTCTGGATTTTCAAAAATTATTTTTAAGTTTGGATTTTCAGTTTTAGTACAAATTGAATTAAAAGTGAAATCCAAACTGAATAGTAATTTTGGGACAGGGGTAGTAAGAAAATAATAATAATAATTACTAACAACGATTTTGAGATAGTAATTTTTGGGACAAGGGGAGTAATTTTTAGATAAAAGAAACTTCTATTAACTTTGTTGGAAAACGTCTAACCAGGATTGATAGAGAATTACAATCACTAACATACTACGATCAAGTAAAATTCTATATCCAAGAATCAACCGATCATCTTTCTGCAGACGATCAAATCACTAACTTTTCCATAGCATCCGCAAATATTTATTGGAAGCATCACGTACCAAAGAAAAAATCCGATCTCGAATGCTTCATTTATCATCAGATGAAGGCTCCAAAAAGCATATCTAAAATATAGATCTACTTTGATTTCATATTCTTAAACATAAACCATGACTATGAACCACAACAATACAATCATGGACAAAACTATAAACTAAAGATCACACACAATCAAAAAAGGAACTAAATAACGATCAATAGAATGAGATCTATTGACAGAATACTAACGCCTACTAGATCAAGATTTACCGACAGATAATACGCGTCTAGTACATCAAAGATATGCTGACAGTCTTTATATGATTAAAGAAAAACTAAAAATAAAGACAATTTATAGTTAGGATATGCAAGTTACTAGCAATGGATAATTACTATTGTCAACAATGTATTTGAAATTATATTTGACGGTGGATAGTTACTTTTGTTAATAATCATCAATTAGTTACTATTGTCAAATAATTAAAATAAGGGACTTGTTCGCCACATTTCAAATTGTCATAAAAACAAGTTGGACCGCCCTTGAAATTAGTTAAGCTTTGACAAATGTAGAGTGATTTTTCATTCAATAAAGAAATATATGAAAAGTGTAGTATGCAACTGCGGGACTCAATAATTGTAGCCAAGTAATTAACAAGTCAAAGGATTTTAATTCAATTCTTTTTTGTCTACATTCCCGCTTAGCTTTCCCACTAAATCTATTAATATTTCCTTGAATTACAAGACAACTATTACTTTGCTTGAACTTCCAATTCATTATAAGCACTCATATCAAAGAGACAAGGCGCCTACAAAGCATTCAATATTAATTTCACTGGTTAAAAAACTCACCCACCAGCTTTAAGAAAGATCGATATTAGTGTAATGAAGGAAATTAACAAGACAAATCAATAAGCGGGAATACAAGAAAATTATCACGGGGGATTTTCTACTTTATACTTCTCATCTATATATTTTAAAGTACAAAGATCCTTTCTTCATTTGATTGTTCCAGGGAATTATTTCTACAAGTGTATCCATGCCATTCTAAGTTTTCGACTCCGGAAAGAGTGCTCCGATCTATTTGGGAAATATTTTTCTGTTCGTGTAAGGTAATCGTATTGATTTATATATGTAGAGATCCGAATTTTCATGTTCTTTTTCAATACTTGTTTTAGGGTTGTATAATCATTGTGGTTTGTGACTTTTGGATATTATCATATGTCCTATTTGCTTCCTTGTTATTGAAAATTGATTTTTTTTTTTTTACTAGCAAGCATAAATCGTCACAAGGTGTTGACATACGAAATTCACAATACAAGTGAAACTTTAGCTATTGTTGTTTTAAACTTTAGCCATCTCTACCTGGATTTTGCCTGCTGGGTTCTTTTACTCATGAGAATGTATAGAGTCTGCTACCCACGTGGATGCAAGTTGCTCAATGAGTTAGGCATTTTACATCATTGGGAAACCAATATAGTACAATTATGTTTTGTGGTAATTTTTTTTTATAGTTGATAAATATTTGCTTATTTTGGTGTATGATTTAAAATATCCGTTCTATTATTTGCAGTCAAAATGGTGTCATCCAGAAAGAAATCTCAATGTGCAATTGGATCAATGCTTGATCTATTAAATGAGCCAGCAACAAGTAGATCTCATAACCAAGAAAATAACTCCAATTGTTCTAACTCTCTCAATTCTTCTTCATCTACTGATTCTGAATCTTTGCACACCTCTGAATCATTTGAAGATGATAGTGATGATGAGCAAAATGCTAACAACAATGATCCACTAGAAGAAGGTATGTGTTTCTAAATAAATTTGAAAATACTATCTCTCCCAAAAACGTTATGTTCGTTGTATATTAAAAATAGTTAATATTTTATACACCTATATATATGTTTTCTTAGATGTATTTTATATGATTGATAGATACAATTGGAAGAGGTCCAACAAGGCAGGGATTTCGATGGGGAACCGGTGAGAAAATGATATTGGAACTTAATGATGATAACCAAGTGGTTGGAAGCATGGCTGCTGAATTTGCGACTCAATTGGGGGTTTTAGCTAAAGAAGGAAACAAGTTACCCCTCATTTACACAGATTGGCGTGCATTGCCTAAGCCAATGAAAGATGATGTGTGGGCTGAAGTGAAGGTGTTATGTCGGATTTAAGTTACTTTGTTTTAAATTCTTAAGTAATGTGGCCATTTTCAAGCATTTGTTTATCTATATATGACTTCGAGATCAATATATAACTTTTATGTATATATCTTCCACTATATTTAATTACAATTTTATGGTAAATGTAATGTTGTCATTCTAGGAGAACACAAATCTTACCGATGTTTATAAGAAGACATGTTTGCGGAGGGTTGGCAAGCTTTGGAAGGATTTTAAAATGAGAACAAAAGAAAAGTACTTTCGCCCACACAGGCGAGACAAAACCTACTTACTAGCTAATCGTCCAGGAAGAATTGAAGAGGATCAATGGCCTGCATTGGTTAACTATTGGCTTTCCAAGAGAGCAAGGGTTAGTATGACGTACTGAATTTTTCATGTTTTTATATATATGTAGATTTATATTGAATCTGGGAACTATATACATAAACTTCATCCTCTTGTTTTATTGAATTGTAGAAAATTAGCAATAGAAATAAAAGGAACCGGAAAGACTTGCAAATGCCACATAGACAGGGGAGAACGGATACCTATAATCTTCAAAATCAGGTATGATCTTTCCATACTTCTATTATTAAAGTTAATTTTTGGTTATGATACTTTCTTAACTTGCTTTTAATCTGAATTCATTGTTAGATTTGTCAAAATAATGGGAAAAAACCATCCACGATAGACGTATTCATCCAATCAAGAGAAGGAAAAAAAGGACAACCATTGGACGAGTTTACTTCTCAAAAAATAGTAAGTATCTGAAGTAGAAGTGATTAACCAATGAAATGCTCCATACTTATTCATTATTCTCAATCTTTTTCATAATTATTACTGTTTCTTACATAATTTTGTTTTATATCTTTATGAAATATCAGGCCACCTTAAAGGCGTTGAAGCAACAATTGCCACCTGAGTTGCAAGATGATATTGAGGCTAATAATAAAATTTTGAAGACGTCATTAGAAAAGATGCTCCAGGATGCCTACGCAGCTGTAAGATTGTTTCAAAAAGTAAGAAAGTGTTCACCTCTCAACAAGAATTTGATCGAGCAGTTGATGAGAGAGTTGCAAGCATTCAACACAATTTGGAGATTAAATTGCAGAATGAGATGGATGAAAGATTATCCAAAATGAAAGATGATTGGCTTGCCGAAATGAAAACAATGATGCAGGATCAATCTTCTAGCTTTGGCAGTCCAAATACCAGTGTTTGAGTTCACTTTACAAAAATTATTACAAGAAAAATTATATTGTATTTACCTTTGCGACATAAAAAAAATGTCTTAGGTACAAGATTCTTCTAATTCCCAGCACCAAATTGCTTTGAATGAACCTTTGCATGGATTAGGAAACTCATCAAATAATGGCCAAACAAATCAATCTACTAAGGTACGTTAATGAAAAGTTGTATTACATTCAATTATAAATCAATTATAAATTATTTTATTCTTCATTACATTTTTTTTATCTTTTGATTAGGTGAGCAAAGAGATAAATCAATCTAAAGATGATAATCCTCCATTGATTTGTTCAGATGCTACTTCCACTAAGGTAACATACATTTTTAGCTTTTCGGAAACAATTTTTGTTTTTTCAAGTTTTTCATCATTATATGTGTCTAAATGAGCTCATATTTTTGAAATTTAATAGGAACGTAAGAAAGCTAGAAGGGTCTCCAAGCGCCTAGCTACATGATAAGGTAACTACTATTAATTTCTTGCCGAACAAAAACAAAAACAAGCATGCGATTTTGTGATAAATACAAATTAGTTTGTTTTTCTCTCATTTTTTTGGTTTGTTTTTGCAGGAAATTCAAAAGGTTACATGATGATGAAGCTTTCAAAAATCTGCTAGTTTTCTATGTTTGAATTGAAAGAACATTTTGTAATGACGATATGTACTTTTTGTGGGATTTTAATTTTTATGGACTTAGTTGCTTTCCATTTAAGTTTGTATGGGATGCTAATCTTTTTTCTTTTAGCGAATTTCTATTTTGCTCTTAAAAATTGATTCGACAATAATATTATGCTTATTTTTTATTGGGTTCCACAAACACTTTAAATGTTGTAAAAATAAATGCTATTCCAAAATAAGGGCTGTAATGCAATTCAAAAAAATAGTTGTACAATACATTATATATCAGCATAAAATAATAAAAGATATGCAAAACAATACCCCAAATAATGCCTCAAAAATGCGACATATTTTTGTGCCGCATGACATCTAATTATGACATCAAAACTTGTGTCGCAAATTATTTTCTGTGGCACTTTAGTTACTAACATAAATATTTTGCCGCAGTAAACATGCAACATTTAAAGAGTTGTGTCACTAAAATTATGTGACTTTTTCAAATTTGCGTCGCGGAACTTTGATGCACATTCAAAAGGTGACGCTAAATATGTCGCATCAATAAGCGTCAGTACTCAATCGACGCAAACAAAATGTCGCAATCATATCGCGACATGGAATAAAAAACGACACAAGATGTGTCGCGAATTTAATGCGACGTGTTTATATTGACGCATAAGTGTCGCATATGTCGTGACACACTTGTTTTTAAGTGTCGCAAATATTTGCGACCGCACTTATCGCGTCACTTTGTGATATGCCGTAATTTCTGTCGCAATATGTTATTCGCGGCACTTTTGCTACTTTTCGCGGCATACATTGTGTGTCGCCAAAAGCCATTTTTCCTGTAGTGTATGGATAACCAATAAAAATTCTCGGACAACCACGAGAGGCAAATTTATCCCTAGGTTTGGCAGAAACATGAGCATAACACAAACAACCAAAACTACGCAATTGATCATAGGAAGGTGGATGGCCATATAAAAGTTCATAAGGGGTTTTATTATGCAACACAGATAATGAGATATGATTAATTAAGTATGCAGCAGTGAGAATGCATTCCCCCCAAAAATCAATTGGCAAATTTGCCTGAAAACGCAAAGCCCTTGCGACTTCTAAGAGATGCCTATGTTTGCGCTCAACTACCCCGTTTTGCTGAGGAGTATGGGGGCAGCTGGTTTGTTTTTCAATCCCATGATCAAAAAAATGAGACAACAAGGAAGAATGAGAAAACTCGAGACCATTATCAGTACGGAAAACTTTAATTTTGGAATTAAACTGTGTATGAACCCAGTTAAAAAATAGTAACAAATAACGCTTAGTTTCAGATTTAGAGCGTATAAGAAAAACCCAAGTTACTCGACTGTAATCATCAACAATAGTGAGAAAATAATGTGCACCAGATTTAGACGAAGTGGGATAAGGTCCCCAAATATCACAATGCACTAAATCAAAAATGTTCGAACTTTTATTTTGATGCAAAGGAAATGGTAAACGAGTTTGTTTAGCACGACAGCATGCATCACAGGCAGATGTGCTGGAAGGATTAAAAACAACGGAAATGCTAGGAATTAAAGAAAGACGAGTAACCAGCAGATGCCCCAAACGACGATGCCACAGAGTTGTTGTATCGCCTTTGCGAACAGAAAGAATCCGCTTCTCGCCACCAGCCTTCATGGGCTCGAGGTAATATAATCCATCGCGCACTTTACCCATTCTAATCAGCCTCCTCGAGGTTAAATCCTGTCTAAAGAATAAGTCAGGGCCAAAAGTGAAAAAACAGTTCAAATCTCTTGTCAACCGACTAACAGAGATCAAGTTGAAATGGAAATTAGGCACGCCCAAAACATTATCCAGATGTAAAGAATCGTCAAGCTTAATTCGACCAATGGCTTGAACGGGAACCTGTTCACCATTAGGAATTTTAACGAAAGAGAACCACGAGGAAAATTGGCATCCGTCATAGATTGCAACTGATTGGAAGCATGATCGGTAGCACCCGAATCACACACCCAAGCAGCCGGCTTACCCGTGGAAGACAATTGATTAGCAGTTGAGGGCTTAGCGACGTCGGAAGAGACTTGTTGGCCAAGCATTTGGAATAATTGTTGGAGTTGGGCGGCGGATAATGAAGCCAATGGAGCAGATGAAGGCTAAGGCAACACCGGATCAGCGGGAGCAACTAGATTGGAAACCGAAGAGCCACGCGATTGAGACCGCACCTCCCGTTTCGTCGAGGTTTTCGCCAACCAAGAGGGTACCCGACAAGCTCATAACATGAGTCCACGGAGTGATTCAATCAACCACGGTGGCTGCAGGGAGACTTGGCACCGGCAAAATCGCGAGCTTCTCGACGAACCGGGAACTCTTCACAGCCGAGTTGCAGCATCAACAATCGAAAGCCGAGAATCAGCCAAACGTCGTTGTTTTTCGTTGCTAGCAACAATAGCATACGCCCGGCCGAGTGTAGGAAGGGGATCGAGGGCAAGAATCGAGATCGGACCGTCTTGTATGTGTCATCAAGTCCCATCGAAAATCGAAAACTTTCTCCTCTTGATCAAGGTTTGAAGCTGCTTGTTCGAGATCACACGTACAGCCGCCGCATTCACAAGCGGGAAAGGGCGCAAATTTTGGAGTTCGTTCAGGTCGCTTTGAGTTTGCCGTAGTACGTGGAAGTGAGAGATCGTTCCTGCTGAAGCAAGGCAATGGAACGTTTCAATTCATACAACCGGGGAGCCAGGCCTTGTGTAAAGCGTTCATCAAAATCTTCCCAAATTGCTTGAGCTGTGGGAACGTGAGTGGCTTCGGTTTGAAGCTCCTTGCAAACTGTGTTGAGAAGCCATGACTTGATCAATGCGTTGCATTGAATCCAAGACTGCAGGTCGGCAGAATCAGCAGCCGGCATGGGAATTGATCCATCAACAAAGCCTGCTTTGTTCTTGGATTGAAGAGCAGTGGGGAAGCTACTCCGCTAAGCAAAGAAGTTGCCTCCGTTCTCAGCCAAAGGTTGGGTGACGAAGTTCAAACCCGGATAATCAGACGGGTGAACGTAAAAGGGAGAACGAGGATCAACCAAAGTAGTTGCAGGTCTGGTTTTGTCAGCCAAAACCGTATCCAAAGGTCTGGTGGTTTTGTCAGCCATCTTGAACAGAAAGATGGAGCAGGCGGCGGAAAAAAAAAACTTGTGAAATAGGCCACCGAAATTGGAGAGTTGAGGGTTTTAAAAAAAAAATCTAGTCTCGTGATACCATAAAGAGTTGGTAAAATCATACTTGTATTAATGTATACAGGGATATATTTATATACACATTGAACAAGTTACCAAACTCTAATCGTAAAAGTAAATACAACTATTTACGAGTTACTCCTTTAAATGGTATTGCTAAATGGAGCTTAAATTTATTTCACGCAACTTGTAAAATAAATTTAAATACTTATATGAAGTTGTACAAAGTAAAATCGAGTTGCGTAAAATAAAATCAAGCTATATTTAACAATACCTATTTTCTCTTGCTTTCAATATGTTTGACATGGACAAGCTGCAAGAATATTATATTCTTCCCGAGTTTTCGTTCCTTTTTAATTTTTGAGTTTATTATTCTGCTGTCATCGGACAAAATTAAGATCGTTGATGGGTGACTTAAAAAACGATTGCAAAATTGATAACAAGAGACCATTGATACCAGCTCTCTCCATTTAATAAAAAGAATCAATGGAAAATTAGGAATGATACCTCATCATAGATTGTGTAGCCTTTGAAAACTACCCTTGCACGTGTAGTAAAAACCAAAGACATTGAAGTTCAAAAACTAATTCCATTTTTCTATCAATAAAGAAAAATCATTACTCTAAACCACGAGGCAACTTGTGTTGAATATTTACAGCAGAGGTAATTTAAATCTTTTGTTCTTCATAACACCAAAATCGTCAATCATACCAAAAAAAAAAAAGAAAAAAAGAAAAGATCCATCAAAAGAAAAAGCGATCACCCATTTTGCGAAAAGAAAAAAAAAACACCGACCACCGATCTTACCAAAGTCATAAAATTTAGGCAAAAGCATTTCACCAAAAATAAATAAAAAAATAAACAAAACAAAATCTATAAGAAAACCCATAACACCGAACACGACCCATCACACCAAAAAAAAAAAAAAAAAAAACGAAAAAAATATTATCACACCAAAAAGAGTAAAATCCTCTTTCATGTGTTATTTGGTTCTCAGTCATTGCAAACCATTAACAATGAGTGAAATTTTAATTTTATATTGAACAATATGTGTGAAGTTGTAAAAAAAGATGATCGTTTAAAAAAATTTAAGAAGATTTTGGGTTCAAGAATATTTTAATTTATTTTAAAATCTATGGGAAGTAAAATTAAATTGCGTTTAGCAATTCACTTTAGGAAATTAGATTTGAAGGTGGTGTGCTTTTTTTTCGTTCCTCATTCCTTTTTTCTTTTTGTTATTATTATTCTAATTAATGGTTTACTACCTTTAACCTTTGCATGAATTGTATTATATTCGAATGAAAAATTTGAATGTTAGATCTTTATGAGTCGCGAAATATTATTAACCAATTAAAATTGTAATCAACTCATAGATAAAATATTGCATTTTATAACAATTAATTTGCATTAAATTTTAAAAATAAAAAATTTGAAAAATGAAATGTATATGTGTATTACTCTACCTAATTTTTAAAAAAATAGAATATTTCTAATCTTTAGGAATTTGGTGTTGAATCTATAGTTAGAATGTTCCAGAAAATTAAATATGTTCACAGTGGAATTATATGTCCTCTTTATTATACTTTTCTTTTCTATATTTTTTTTTATCGAATTCTTAGTAGGATGATTAGAAATGTTTACAAAGATATGTATACAAATTTATAATCCTTAATATGATTACATATCCAGAATTGTTTACCTAAAAAATATTAAGAAAAGGACTCGACCAAAAATAATATTGACCAAAATTAGGTGGACGAAACTAAATGTGTCTGATTTGTGAAATCCGAAACTAAGGAGCAATCGGACTATCGAAATCTGAGGCAAAGAAGATTTGGATTAGAAAAATTTGAAACTTTGGTAACCTAAAGTGACTAAATTAAATCATAGGATAAATTAAAATTATTATAGTCTCGGATTTCGAAAATCCGAAAGTAAGTAATAAAAAATTAATTTTAGTTTTGAAAAAAAAGCAATCTAAGTGTTCGAAAATGAAACTATCGGTTGCTTTTTCTACACACACTTTCGGATTTCGAAAATTCAAGGTAAGTGCTTTCGGATTTACTAGTCTCCCCAGATTTTGAGCAGGGACGGCGAATTGACGGCGAGGAGGAGGGTGGTCGCACCGGTGAAAAAAAAAGGTGAAGAAGTCTGAAAATAAATTAGGGGAAGAAGTTAACCCAATTTATAGTCTCGACTAATTCGGATTTTCCAAATCCCAAAACACTACTGTCGAATTACTCAAATCCGAATCTCCCATGTTCTTCTGATAAAATGTGAGTCTCGGATGCTTTTCTTGACCACAATGACTGTCGATTTGGCGAATCCAAAACTTTGCGTTTTGTACTAGTTTGGATTACGCAAATACGAGTGTATTCGCAGTAAAATTTTGTAAGTTTCGGATTTGCGTAATCAAAAAACATTACAAAATACTGCATTCGGATTTGGCTACCCAAAAATAAAAAATGACAAATTTTGTATTACCAAATCCCTAAACATATAAACATTCATCAATTTCCACCACACTCACCGCACCGCACTAAGCTTAATGATAGTAGTTTAATAGTTCAATCCAAACATCACACAAGATACGAATGTAATGTTTAATCCAAAAGATTACACAAGATAGTAATTTGAAACCAACACTGCATTCCAAAATGCAACAAACTAATCACATCTGCCATCGGTCCACCAAAGGTGTTCTTTCTACTTTGGGATGCAAGTGAGGGTACGAATTAGGATCGTGAGATTCTCTGCATCTCCAACAAACACCACGGTTTCAGCGATTACGGTAATCCATTTGCATATTGTGTCTCCTTTTTTAGTGTCCGGTAGGTCCGTCATTCAGCACGAGCTTCTTGTAATTCGAATGGAGTTTCTAATCAAACCATAGGTCATTGTCGCTCATCGACATCGGTAAAAACCATTGTAGTCAAATTGTTTGAGCCATGCTTGACGCCTCCAAAACTTATGGTATAGGGAAACATGTCGATCACTTTCTTTTCATGCGATGGCAAGTGGTACTCTTGATATTTCTTGCAAAAACACCTTTTGGCGTCATAGTTGACCGTATACACCGACCCACCTCTCCCACTCGGCCGTGTCGAGTTACCACCTCCTAACTAGCATCGTCGGAATCGTATGGTTCAGCCTTATAGGTGGCGGTTTTGTTGTTCTTCAGTTCGTAGACTGTCCATAGCTCAGTGGGGATGCGCGTATCACATCTCGTCATCAATAATAGTTCTTCTCAGTAAAATTCAACGATTTTGTGGAATGTAGCATCGATCATAGCTCTAATGGGCAAAAACCGGATTTCTTTTGGGGCATTGTTGTAACTCTCAGAAATGTTAGTTGTTGTGACACCCCAATGACGACGTTCGGGTTTCAATCGAGTCCAATTATACCTCCTATGTCCCGAACATATGCCCATGCTTCAGAATGAATTTGCAGAGCTCTTCCTCAATCGCTTGAATTTTTAAAATTAAGCGCTACCCATTTATTGGCATAACCGCTTCACTCTCAAACTCTTATATTTCGACACTAGATTGCTTGAACGTGCGGGAAGCAATACACGTGGGCTCCATCACCTAAATCACTCCATTCGGGATTTGCGGGATTGCCCTCAAAAGTCCAATGTTCGGTCCGATATCACACTAACAATCGTATCACCTACAATATGATACCTCAAGTGCTTCATAAAAAATGACCAACTTTGAGTGGCCAATTCATCCACAACGGCAAATGCAACCAATAAAATGCGTTTCTTTGTGGTATACACCACAACAACTAGCAACTTACCCTTGTATCCCCCACGTCGGTGTGTTCCATCAACACAAATCACCGGCGGACATTCAAGAAATGTTGCAGCCACTGGTGAAAATGACCGAAACACGTATTTGAAAGTCCTATTTCTCATATTCCAACCAACTTGCCCCTCCTTCCATTCACACTCGACTACAGTTTCGAGATTAGTACTCTTAAGTGCTTTAATATACCTACACATCAAGTTTTTCCGAGTTTATACATGATAATACAAGTAACAACAAAATTAAATTAATTGACAATTATCAAAATTAAAATTTACCAAGAAAGTTCTTCAAAATTAGAGGACCAATCACCATAAACTACCTACATGGCTTTCCTCCTCCCGTTCCACGCTCACTTGTAGGGGACATTCACTTTTACCAACTTGTTCACATCTTTTTGCACCAATTTTACCGTGTAATTTCACGTTTTTCTCAACCTTTTCATGATTAGTCTAGCAATAAACGCCGAGTACGCACAACAATGTTGACTCCACCTTAGACTCCACCATGTTGATGAATGATTGTCTATCTTCCGAAACTGTAATTTCTTTCCTTCCTTGTGATTATCATTCCACTAATCTGGAAAACCAATAATGCGGAAACAACCTACCCTTGTATGCCCATTCATCTTGCAGGTATCACAGTTCAAAAGCTTCTTCACGGTTTTGTCTGCATTCAAATCATTTTCCCGATAGTTTTGTTGAATTTTCCTCTTTGTACAGCCATTGTTGTCTTTGATGAACCTTCATTGCGCTTTGATGTGAGATAGTACTGTAAATAACATTGATCTATATTTGTTTCTCTACATTCAACACCATAGAGTATGCTCTTTTAACATCCGGCAAGGGTTCCATCATCATAATTTGATTACGAACCGATGTATAAAATCATTCAAACCAGTCAAGAACTGGTACAGTCTACTCTTAGCATCTCTCGTTACGATTAATTTGAGATGACAAGGGCATTTCCCACACTCACAATCCTCTGTTAAATACGTTGACCTCATCCCAGAGCCTTTTAAGCCTTGAATAATATACAGCCACAGGCTCATTACCTTGAGAAATAGTGCATATCTCCCTTCTTAATTGATAGATCTGAGGTCTGGTACTTCAACTCTTCCCAAAATTCAGAGGCCGTCTCTTCCAGAGTATAATTCTCCACAAGACCGGAGGAAATCGAATTCAGAATCCAGGCTATCACTGTATCATTCACACGCATCCACCGATCATAGTATGGACTTTGAGGACTCGGTCTTGCATAGCTCCCTGAAATAAAACCTAAGTTTTGCTGCGAGAACCGAAAGCCCGACGCATCGTGTAACTCCAAGCCACATAGTTGGACCCCGTCGGCTGGAAATTGATCGAGATGAAGGCTGAATATCGGATGCAAGAAGTATAAGAGGATGATTATAGCCTCCATAACTCACTCCATCGTTTTTCTTCTTTGATTCTACAAATTGCCACTTTGATTAATTTCTTGACCTTCGACGGTGATCGCCAAGATTTCAAGAAACAGAGAGAACACTTTAATCTTTGTACAGGTCTAATCCCTTAACCGACTAACTAACCATGCCACGTCGATTTGTATACGTAACTTATACAATCATTATGCTATTTACAAATTCTAATCCCTGAACATTAACAAATGTATAATACTGAATTATGTATAGCAGCATCTAAGGTGGTTAAAAATAAAACATACTTCTGAATCTTGTTCTTCATTCTGATCTTGAACTTCTACACCTCACCGATGACCGTAGAAGATACCAGTGTACGACAGGTAATACCAAATGAAGAAACCTCTTGATCACTCTTTAGCCCAAAATGGTTTTCGGGTTGAATTTTGATCTGCTACAGTAGCTGGCCGGATACCACTTTATCCGATCACTAGAAAAGCAAATGTGGAAAATAGGAATACCGAATACAATTTGGCCCCGGGTATTATGAATTTGGGATTCTGTCACTTTTCTTTGTCTTGTAGGTCCGATCAAAGTGCCGGCATTAGACTGTTCCATTGGTTGCGGTGTTGTTATAAATTTCTCTTTTTTTCCTGTTAGACATGCGTTTTTTCATATTCATGAATCTTCCCCAGGGCCAATTCAGGGGAGGAGGCAAAGCCCTCTGTTTCTTTGTGCTTGTACCACCATGCACGCAACGGGAAGTGGATGAATCCAAAGCTGCAAGAAAAGAAATAAAAGTTATCCAATCTTCCCTTGTTGAGATCCCCCCAGCTAACCAGCTATCTCCTCCGTTGCTTTTTTGCCCATTGCACAAATTGATGAAAAGAAGCCACCCAGGTAACATCATCGGACCCGCTGAACCCAACAAACACCAAAGCCATAGGGATATTCATGTTTATTTGCTCCGCACTATAAATATTCATCAATCTGGTAGCAGATGACATGGCTGAATGTGCAATTGGTTACCTATCTTTCAAACAGTTTTCACCATTTTAAAACATGAACCATGCAGCTCTTTTGCCCAACTCTCAGTATGAATTCAAGTTCAGTGCCAATGTAACAGATTATACTATATGCATCTTTCAGACTGTAATGTAAACCATAAAATAAGGTCAAAAAAAACACCACAGTATTTGATGCCTATGCAGTACTGTAGTATATACATCCACCCCAGGGCTAAAAAATAAAGAGAAGGTGCTTAAAGATTGTGTTCCTCAAAGGCTATTCTGCTGCCATTTTTTAGCATTTGTCAAAGATTTAACAAAAATACTGGCAAAATGACAATGCATGAGGAGCTCTCTTCTACACATAATATATCATCCCAACTTCTATAAGGCTAATGTGGGGGATGTTAAGAGCAACTGCAGGACCTCTGCAATTCTTCCTAAGAAAGGAGTACCCGATATCGATTACTAGCTTCTTCAAGAAAGATGATGACCTTCTTGCCTTCACATACGAGTGCCCCATTATGTATGCGACGCCAGCTTCTTTTGCCTGAATTAAATCCAACAGCTCTTCCCTAACCGCAATATCCATACCGGGACTTTCTGGCAATGCAAACCTGACTTGGCGTCGCCTCATTTGAGGGTTCTCATTTTCATATGCCGATCTCAGACTCTGAAGTGTCAAGGATTTGCTGCTGCTTTGGATGGAGTTACTTGCAGCATCAAAATCGTCATGCTCTGATAAGATTAAACTTGAACTAGACCCAACATCTCTCGTGCTTATGACCGCCATCCTCCCATCAAATGACGCATTGTCAGGGCTCGAGAACTGCGGCTCGACAGCTTCCATCTGAATGAACTCAGCTATACTTTTAATCAGCAGGTTTTCAAAGTTCCCGTCATCTCGCTGAATGTCTTTGTATCCATATCTTATGATGCAACGATACATGCGATACGGTCTCGGACAAATTCGACCAATGAGGAAGCGTTCTTCAGGTGATACATATGGCACAGGGACCGACTTCACGCAAACAAACACCAATACAGAATGAAAAGCAGGTAGATTTGTCACAAAGTGAGAAAAGATCGAAGGAACTCCTGTAGCCAACTCCGAGTATATTAAACCTATTCCAGGCACACGAACGATACCAAGGCTGGGTCCCAAGCCAAGTAACCATTTCAGTGGAACTTTGTTGTGCAGGTCGGAGTTGTACTTCTTGCGAGTTCCATAGTGCCAAACAAACATAATGCACATGAAAACGAATGACAGCAAAAGGGAGACCCAACCACCCTGAGGAACCTTTATTACAGCCGCTGACAAATAAGAACCTTCAATGACCCAAAATAACAGGAGGAATGCCCCCGCATATAATGTGCTCCTTTGCCACACAAATACTATTACGAGTGACATCAGGAATGTCGTTATAAACATGACGGTCATGCAAGCCAGGCCTGGAAGCAAAAACTCAGATATTGTAAGTTTATCAAGTTTACCGCAAAATACTTGTGAGCAAAAATTGGATCCAAAACACCCCGAACCGGAACGAGATGCATTCTTTCCCTTTTCTTAAGAAAGTCAAAGGTTAATACAAGATGTCCTTAAAAGGAAATATCATGCCACAAATTCTTCAGCACATCAGGAAGAAGCTGTCCATCCCAGCACTTTCCAGTTCCCCATGCCAAAATCCAAACATGAAAGAGATTTCTATGACACTCAACCAAAACCTAACATGAATGTAATAAGAGAGTCTATCGTACACTATGGATACAAGTCCTAATCACAACCTTCTTTGTTAAAGCTTCCTCCCCAAAGTTCCCACATCACATATGTCAGCACCAGAAACACTAAACAGACCTTTCAGCCTAATGTAGGTAAACTCCCAAATCAGAGCTTTTAACAGAAATTTTCCATGCAAGCAAGAAAAACATGGAAAAGATTCAAAATTTTAAACATATGCAACATTTAACATGGGATGCAAATGGATAGTGCGAAGGCAATTGATTGCCTTGAACGGTTTTAGCTTAAACTGACAAGGTAGACGAGAAAAATTACTAATTATTTCAAGTCTGCTGGAATCAAGGCACAGAAAACTTACCATATGCATTTCCAATAGTAGTTGTATCCTGAAACCCAATGGCAATAGCTAGAGTAATAATCATGAGAATCCAGTTTATTTCTGGTATGTAAATCTGCCCATAGATGTGTCTTGAGGTGTGAACAACTTTTACCCGGGGGAAACAACCAAGTGCATTGCACTGTTTAACAATTGAAAAGGTGGCTGAAATGATAGCCTGACTGGCAACAATTGCAGCCAGAGTAGCAATGATGAATACAGGCCAATATATTTTATCTGCAACAAAAATCAGCAAAAAGAAGAAGTTCAAGTTTTAAATCATACGGAACATTAATATAACAGATTTTACGTGATCCATGAAAAACTAACCAGGAATTGAATCATAGAAACTTTCTGGAATTGATTCGACATTTTTTGAGAGAAAGGCAGCCTGACCCATGTATTGGAGCACAAGGCAAGGGTATACAGCAAATGCAAAAGCAATCTGCAAAAATTGATAACATCAAAATTGGTCTCAGCACTTGCTCTAAACATTGACCAGGAAGTAGGTGCATTTGAGGCTAAATTATTGACAGGCAACACAAGAGATTATCAAGAAACTTATGCATGCAAACGAAGGACTCACTCGGATGGAAGTGGCAGTAAAATGGCCAAGATCAGCAAACATAGCTTCAGTACCTAATGGAAAGAGAGAAAAGATAAGTCCTCTCAGTCAAAGTGACTCTTAACATTCATAAGGTAGACAAGCTCGAAAACTCATAGGTGTACTTGATCTTCAATATTAGTGCAGACAGGAACACTTCAATATGCACAATGTCTACAGTACCTGTTATCGCCAGAAGAACTCCTCCAAGGGACAACCATCCATCTTTACCAGTTTCTCTGAAAAACTTGCCTATATAGTGAGGAGAAAGGGCAGATACAACTTTTGGATTCCAGTAGATTGTGTTATATAGACCAATGGCAAATATTGATATCAACCAAAGAACAACCACCGGTGCAAACAAAAAAGCAACCCTGTGTGTCCCGATGTGCTGAAGGGCAAATAACCCAACCAAAATTGCACAGACGATCAAGAGAATTTCACCTAAAGCGCACAATGGATTTTAAGACCAATGAGGAATCGAACAATAACAATGGTGAATCCAACAAACAAAATGACATACAGGTATACCTTGAGTTAACCTTCCATGTGAAACTTTAATTCCAGATACCGCAGACAGAACTGCAAAAGGCAAACTTCAGTCAATTAACACATCTACCAGATACTAATGGTAGAATTTGCACTAACATAAGTATTTTAGCAGACACTAATCTAATTGCAACCAGGAACACTTGCATTAACAGGATAAAAGGGGGAGGAAAAAAAAAACATTATTGTCAGAATGTTGAAACGTAGCTCACAACACAGATCAAAGAAAAAGTGCACCAGAAACTCAAATTAGAGAAATCAAGGTGAAGAATCAATAACCAAATTGACTGTTAAAATATCAACTTGGGAAAGTAGGTTTCCCAGCATAACTAGGGACTTTTCAGTTTCTATTTACTCTTTGATGTTTTGAATGGCAACTAAAGAAAGAAAGGCACCAAATAAAATGTACTCGAGTCAAACAAAAAGAAAAGTGCTCTCGTGAATGACAATACTTCTGGAAAAATATACTACAATAGAAACTAATATTGAAGAGCAGCCAGAAATGGAACTTTCAAATTAACCCGAAAGACCAAATAGCTCACCAGAAATTGCGGGAGTAATTACACCGTCACCTATTACCATGCATGCTCCTAACAACACTACAAGGAGTAATATGGTCCGGCACTTCTTATGCTTTTCAAGAAATCTTCTAAATGGCAAAGATGCTGCATGCTGGGCTGAAGGGCCATATTTGTAAGTGGATAACTCCTCATCTGCAGCTTGTTGATTAGGTAGCAAACTAAATTTTGCATGTCTGCAGAGCAGAGAATAAAGAGCAAATGTCCCACCTGGAATTCAAATGAAGAAGTGTCAACGAAAAATTGGTGTGACACCGATTCTACTTACAAAGAACACAAATGCTAAGCAAAAAGATACAAATGCTAAGCAAAAAGATCAACATTACCTTCACCATTATCATCAGCGCTCAACACTATGAGCATGTATTTCAGTAAAGGTATTAGTGTTAAGGTCCAAAATATAAGAGAAAAAGCACCAAATATGACATCCTCGTTATTATAATTTGGCAGCTTTCCAGCAAATATGCTCTTATAAACGTAAAGTGGTGACGTGCTGAGGTCTCCATAAACCACCCCGAAACTCTGGTATGCTAAGAGCAGATTTTTGGAAACATTTGCCCAAGGAAACTGCAATTCCAGAATCATCAAGTCAGTCCAGTTGGATTCGCGAGGATAAAATTCATGTTTAGGAGTGTGAATTTGTTTGCAAGCGAGTTTTATACAGTACTCGCAACATACAATATAGTACTACTTCGCAGCAATTAAGAGATGAGATCACAAAGAAGACGATTAAACAGATATATTCCACGGATATGAGAAAACAGACACAAACACTTCAAGCAAACACTTTCATTGCCACAATTATACAATGTCTTCAAATGATAAAGATATTTTTACCATAAAAACTGTCATACCTTAGTAGAAGAGGAGTTCCCCACCTTAGGTGTCTGCACTCCATCATCAGGTCCCTCTTGTCCACCGGAATTGCGGGAGTTTTGAACTCCATTGGCTGCTTGAGGACTTGCACCCGCACTATCTTCTCCACGATCAACATCAATAGTAAACATCGTCTCCTGGTAAGATGACAACAAATTACTCAAGACTACCCCAAGGACATTACCATTATCAATTTCAGATTCAGCTTCAATATACAGAGGATAACAATGCATTACAATAGAGGGACCTGAGCATGCATAATAAATCCGTTTAAAGAAAAAAAACAAATTATAACAAAATTCCTGCAGAGTTCGGGCAGACCAAAAGATTTCATCCAAACCCCAAGAAAGAGATTTAAAAAAGTAAGAATTCAACATCTTTCCCAACAGCCCTAAAACAAAGAATGAAACTAGTCAATGTTAGATACTGTCATGTTTGCTAGAACTCAACCTTTAAGTACAGTTTGAATCCAATCAAACTAGAGGCCATACCTCGGCACAAGAACTAAAATAAACATGATTAATGACTCGTGTTCAAGTCCATAAACAGTTCCCACCCTCAATCAAGCACTAAAAAACAAGAGCCCGAATTAAAATATTTCCAACAAAATAAAGTTCTTTCGAAGGGGAACAAAAACAATAAACCCATCATGAAGTTGAACCCAAATGAAAAAAAATTGAGGACTTTCACGAACATTGGGTAAAAATCAACAACGAAACAAGGTACAAACAGCAGAAATTATCAAATAATAAATAAACATTAAAAAGAATTGAATTAATAAGGGAAGGCATACTGAGAATAGGATTGAATTCGGATTAGATTGGGCTTCTTCAGATATCGATCAACCCCAGAAAACAACGTAAAAGTAACAGCATATACGAACTAGTAGAATGGATTTGATGGGCTAAAAGGGGAAACCATAAAGAGGGAATGGATTGAGAGATTTGGTGACATTCAGCCAAAAGAGAGGCGGGATTGGGATTTGGGATTGAGATTTGGGGTGGATTTAATATATCCTTCCTTCCCTGGGTTTCAAAATTTGTTGAATAATAATAATAATTGTGAAAAAACAATGATTACGATTTTGATGTAGTGATGCTGATGAAATTGATCACACCCAGCTTCCTCATCATACCCATCTCCTGCTGCATCTTTCTTTCTTTGTTTTTTTACTATTTTTTTCCTTTAAATTTTTATATGAAGAAGATAATTGTTTGTCATTAATATTTTTTTTTTTGCTTGAAATAATGATATTGCTAATATTATTATTAGTTAAAGAATACAATTATTTCTCTTTTTATTACGTATTTTTCTTTTGAGAAACAAACATTAATAACGAGAAATATTAACAATTTAGTTTTTTATTATGCTATCAAAACACTGATTTCATATTCTATAATCTAAATATTGTACACGTATTTAATTTAATTTCTTACTATTGAATATGTATGCTACTACACTTTAAAAAAAAAAAGAAGAAAATTGTTTATTAAGATAGAAACCATTTTTTATCTTCACAAAAAAAAACAATTTATTATCAGGATTATGTGAAAGAGTAGTAATTATGTAATAATTTTTTAAATTGACTTACACGTTGTAATAAAATCGTCAATATAAATCCAGTAAGTGGTTATTTTTCTTCTCACTCACTCACAAAAAGATAATATTATGTTTTTTAAAAAAAAAACGAAATCCAGAATAATAGTTCTTATTTTCAATAAATATGATTTTTATCTGCCAAATTTTGAGATTGGAAGATAAATTTAGTTGTTGAATTAAATTTGAGAAGATAACAAATACTAGCTTCCTTAAAAAGGAGCTTAATGTGATGAAATTATTACCAAATTGTACCCAAAAAAATTTATTGTCAAATTCCAATATTTCACAACAGAAAAGAGTAACGTCAAAATTGTAAATAACAAATTTAATTCAGCTATGAAACATTTCTCAGTTCAACATTGTGAGAAGATGAGGATTAACTTTAATTTTCTTTGTATATTAAGTTTACTTATATTGTTACAAAAAAAAAAAATTCCTTATATTGCAAATATTATTCATTAAAATCTTTTGATAATAAAAAAAGAATATTTAAAATATGTAAACCGTGACTTCTTTTTTTTTTTTTCTTGTTAGGAAAAACACGACATACACACGGTTTGTCTTGTGACTTAAGCATGGACCACACTAAATCTAGTCACCTCCTACTTTGAATTAGGAATTCATTTTACAAACAATGATTCTTAAACGTTAAATGCCACTTAAAAACTTATACTCCCCCAGTCACATAATTATTATCCGGTTTGAGTTTTCATTTTTAGTTTATAATATACTAAAAGTGAAACTCAAACCGGACAATAATTTTGGGATAAAGGGAATATGTGTTTTTCTTTTTGAAGCAACTCTATTATAATTTTTTCCTCCCCAAAGACAGGATCAGAAGATTGTTGTTATTACTTTAAAAAAAAAAAAAAAAGAGGAAGAAAATAACAATTAACAAAAAAATATATTATTATTCATTAAAGAAATTTACTTTTAAGCTTCCAAGAAAATTTATTTTTTGATTAATTTTTTTTATACTAGTAATTAATTAACTGTCACAATCATATTATTATTCTGATTTTTTTTTCCTCTTGTTTCCACGCCGGTACAATACTCTTACTTACTCCAAAAGAAGAAGAATATTCCGTTTGATTTCGCTAAAAATACTTATATATAAAAAATAAAAAAAAAATCCTTCTGGTTTTCCTATCAAAGAAGAGTCAATGAGATGAATGATATAGTTAGATTTGTGTCAAAATGAAATGATATTGAGTCACCTACATTGATTAACAAAAAGAGACCTAAAAATAAAATATGCATTTATAGTTAATGATGTGATGTTCTACAACTGTATGATCAAGTGCTTGTGTCAGCTCCCAATAATGAAGTTAAATATGCAAAAATATTATTTAAATTAACATATAAAAATAAAAGAAGGTGATAGGCTGGCACTCTTTTATACTTTGTTTTGTGGACTGAATTTGACTAATATAAGGTTAATCTGTGTGCAAATTTGTTTTTTTTTTGTTTGTTTGATAACCGTGCAACTTTGTGTTGATTATGATACGTTTTCAACCGTTGTTTTTGTCTGAGAAGTTTCTTGGAAACATTCTATCAACTTTTCTTTTCTTTTTAACTTTGGCTTCTTCTTTTTTAAAATTTCAATTTCATTTATGTAAAATTGAAAATAAGCATTCGGGCTTTGTTAAAATTTTATTGATGGTTCTTGAATTTTACTTCTTCTGTCTGAAAAGAAAAAAGAAGTAAAAGTCTTAGGCTTTGTTTGTTTTTTTTTTTTGATGGTATTTTTAAATTAAAATATTAATAACTATCTCATCTCATCATACCTTTTTACATTTCCAATACACCTTTTTACATTTCCAACACAAAAACACCTAAAAACACACACTAAAAAAACAAAACAAACATACTCTTAACGAACTTTTTTTTTCTGAGACATAAAAAGTGAACTATATGAATATTTAGTTATATTGTATCGCCATTATATTTTTTATATTTAACACTTGAATCCATAAAACATCGGTGGTCAAATGTATGTTCGACAGATGAGCAAAAAATACAAATAGTGGAGATAAAAATGTTAAGATAAACGTGTTGGCATATTATAGATTGGATATAATTAGAAATGAATATATCAAAGAAAAAGTAGAGCTAGTTCTAATAGAAACTATAAAGTTAAGAATCTAAATTAAGAGAGGTAGGGGTAAACAAAAGAAAACTGGAAAAGAAACGATTAAAAATGATTCGAAATATTTAAATTTGAATGATGATGTATGTATAGACCGAGTACGATGACGACATATGATCTATATAACCGACTCCACACACTAAAAAAACTTATTATTGTATTTGTATCATGTCGACATTACATCATCTTAATGAAAAAAGTCATTAAACCATTAATATAGTGATAGGGGATCCAACCTTTCTACATTCAACAAACGCTTTTAATAGAATGTTCATATATATTAAAAAAAAAATCATCTTTGTTATTTTATTTTATTCAATGAATATGTTTTTAATTTTTAGATATAGGAGATAATTATTGATAAGGTCGCATTGTCGTACATGTTGATGTTAAAGGACATGAGACTTTTGGTTTCCCCCAATGTGCTTTTCAAAGTTTTGGTTTCACAATTTTTACTATTATGAATAGTTGTGAGTAATTATTCAGTCCAACGTATTCAATATGTGAACTTATACAATATGATAAAAAAAAAAAAACAGGATATCTTAGATTTAGATGATGGATGCTTATCGTTATCTAGCTCGCTTCACTAAACTTAACCCTAAGTATCAAGTATGGGATTGCACCCAAAAAAATTTTTTCTTATAGTTTGGTTTACTCTCTTTTATTTTTAAACAAAAACAAAAACAAAATTCCTTCCAATAATAATCTTTACAATAATAATCTTTTTGTCTTATAAAAAGTAAAAGCAGTCTTTTTGAAGAGAGTGTCATTTTCTTATTGCATAATTTTCAATTGGCCAGTGATATTGCCAGGGCTATTTTTAGCTTACAGATCAAAACTTGTGTTTCTTTCTGAAAGTACCTTATAAAGTCAACCCACTATTTTAATTTTTTTCTCCCTTTGACGGCTCTCTCTCGTTAATCTCCAGCTCTGCTGAACTTTCTCCGATTGCCCGCCTAAATCCTCTTTGTATCAATTTTCCTCCAAAACTTTTCAGCAATCTCCCTCCAAAAAAAAAATAAATAAAATTAAGGGGCGCAATGTCAGGGATTATAGTTTACAATCAGCATCTTCATTTATATTGGGTAATTCCAATTTATCATCACTTTAAACAGAGAAAAAGCTTATGGACACGAACAAAAAGCCCTAAGTTGAAAAATTTCTAGTTCTTTGTGTTGTTCAATCTGCAATTATACCAAGTAAGCTATTTAATGCTTTGATGTTGGTTTATTTTTTGACTTTGTTTAATGAGTAAATTTGCATTCAATTATTGAGATAAAGAAAAAAAATAATAACCGAATGAGTTTACTAAATTTTCATGTGATTTTTATAGATTGGTTCTTGAATTTAATCTACACATGGTCGTATTCTATGCTTTGTTTTTAGAGAAAGGAAATATTCTAGTCCCCTTAAGGATCAATCAATTATTGCTATATCTGTGTGATTGTTTTTTTTTCCATGGTATATGATATGTTCTTCCCCTAATTTATTGATTATCATTGTACAGTAATTCATAATCATAACATGAGGTACTCTCATTATGTAAATGATTGATTGGAATTAAATTAGTTTGATATTGTTTGAGAGGAAAATAAGACTTTTTTTTATTGTTCAATCTGTTGTAGTGCAACTTGTTATCACTACTCCTGAATCATCTATTTATTCACCTAGTTGTTCATTTGTTAAATACAGTAACTAGACTCAGTGTGGTGATGTGATTATAGGAAATCAAAAAGATTGCGGTGTGTGTTTGGTCAAATTCAAGGCACTGCACAAGGTTGATTAATATTGTCACTTGCATTTGATCAATAGCTTTCATTCTTTTGTTTTTTGTACAGCTCCAGTTGAGAGCTCATGGCGCATCATAATGTTGAAGAGAATGGGTTATTCATATCAGCTCCTGCCATCATTCAAAAGAATGCGACGGCAGTGGACACAACTAACCTACTTGCTACCATGTACAGTTCTCGCGAGGATCTCATAAAAAAGGCGAAAGAATTTTACTCAATCCAGGGGTATTGCTTATCAATCAAACATTCAAGAGCAAATAAATATGTTGTCATCGGATGTGATAGAGGAGGACTTTATCGGGATAGAGTAAATACCCCTATTGAAGAGAGAAAAAAGGGGAACTTCCACCCGCCTTACTAACTGTCCTTTTCAAATAGTAGGTAAAATGCAACTAGAAGGTTTTTGGAAAATATTCATCAAATGTGATTCACATAATCATGAAGCTTCTAAAGATATCTTTGGGCACCCATCCGAGCGAGTGTTGTCAGAAAAAGAGATCGTGAATGTAACCAATATGACTGTAGCTGGAGTTCTACCTCGCAAAATAATCCCATTGATTCGGAAAAATAATCCTGATTTTCGGATTGTTTCTCGAGATGTTTACAATAGGAAAAGAAAAATTGCAAAGAAAAACCTTCAAGAGCGTTCTATCATTCAAGTCCTATTTGAAGAAATTTGGTGAGGCTAGATATCTGTTTGACTTTATACATGACGGGAAAGGTAGTTTAGCTCTTTTTTTTTTTTGCACATCCTGAGATTACATTGAGTAGAAGTTATTCAACTATTTTTGTCATGGATTGCACATACAAGACCAACCGCTATAAAATACCATTACTTGAGATTATTAGTATGACTAGTTTTAACACGTCATTTTATTCATGCTTTGCATTTTTAAGAGGAGAAGGGGAGGGAGATTATGTATTGTTTGTCATTGTTTGCCTTGGATAAGTTAGGACAATAATTTGAGATGTTAAATAATCAGAAGATGCGTAAGACATGCAGTGGTAGTTTCACGGCCACTATGGGATTACCTTGTGCACACATGATGAGTTCCTGGATAGGAAAATTAATACCTTTAGCATCTATACATCCGCAATAGCACATTGACACTAGGGATTTTCTTTTTATTGATGGCAAGCGAATAATGGTGATTCTCCCTACCATGGATTGGTTAGTAGGTTGGGAGGAAAATACATGCAAATGCCTCTCAATGGGAAGAAACATATTGAAGAAACATCGCATGAACTAGTTAACGAAGAGGAGTCTCCATTGAATTTTGAGCCAGAGGTGCAACAAGGTAGAGGAAGACCATCTAAAGGAAAAAAGAAAAAGGGATTCAGTTCAACAACTAGAGACCCGTCACAATTTGAAGTTGTTGAAGCAGGATTGAGGAAAGCAACTCATAGATGTGGAGAAGGTAGTAGTCAGACAAGCCAAATCGCCACCATTAATTTGAGTGAAGATCAAATCCTAACACATCTAGATGATAGAGATCCAAGAATTTTGTTGATTTGAATTTCTCACCTACTCCATGTGATGAGTTCCAATGGCATTGAAACATGATTTCAGGTATTCATTGTTGTTTGGTTAACTTTTAGTGTTTGGTTTTCATCTAAACTCATTACAGATGGTAATTAAATTTATCTTTTGATTTCATGTTGCAGGTTTGAATTTGCTGCTACCTTATAAAAAAAACTCCATGTGAATAAAGATTATTTACAACTGATTTGTGTGCTTTGCAAATGTCGTTGGACAATGATGTTATCTCTTGGATGTTTCTAGTATTTCCCCAACTGTTTTATGGTATTCTGCAGCAACGAAAACTTTTAAGTTCTTGTCATTCTATTAGCAAAAACAAAAAATGGGTTGTTCTTTACCTTTTTGGATGCTCATTATTTTATTAAAGCAGTTTATGGTATTTTAAATTTGTTTGCAAGCTCGTTACTGCAGAGCACCTTTATATGTATAGCTCTGGTCTTTGATTTTTAACCGAGACCCCCATAAAATTGGTTTTGGATCAAAGCGTTTATAGTCAAGTGAAATCAACAGTAATATATTTTGGATTAAAAGTATTTAAAGAATAGCCAAACAGGAGAGAAATCTATTCAGTTTTTTGAGATTTCGGAGAGAGCCGTGAGAGAAAAAAATAGTGGGTTGACTTTATAAGGATATTTTTGGAAAAGAAACGCAAGTTTTAATCTGGAAGCCGAAAATAGCCCTGACAATATAACTCGCGTTTCCAATTCCCATCACAAGCCAGTGATCTGGATTCTGGACTGGAGCCTTACATTGGGGGTTTTTAACTAAACATGAATTCTGGGCTGGATTGGGCTGCACTCTACGTTCTGTAATTTTAGTTCTGGTCCAATAAACTTTCCTCTTTTATCTTTCTTCTTCATCCTCTGTCAATCGAACTCTATAGCTGAGGAGCTCTGCAACAAAGAAGTGGCTTTTCCCTCTGAAACCTCTGGTACGTTTTTCCAATATATCTTCCATTTCTCCTTTTTCCCTTTCTATGAATTTATATTCACTGCTTCTTATGCTCTGCTCTTGTTATTCATATATGCTACTGTTTCGGTTGGAAACTGTTTTTTTTTTTTTTTTTTTCCATTTTCAGACATTTTTCTTAAATTCTTGAATTGCCAAATTACTTATGAGATTATACATATGTATATGCATTATAGCTAGTTTCCATTGAAAGGGGGCGGGGTGTTTGCATCCATAAAGCATTAAAGCTTAAGACAGAAAATGAGAAATTTTTCAAAGACATGCTTTTTTTCCCCACAAGGGATGCTTTTGGAATTTATTTCTGATAAGAGATTAAAATTATTTGATTTGGATTATATTTAATTCTGTTCTTTTACTGCCTATTTTGTTGCGATAGGATAGAACTTTATTGCATTCTTCATGATGACTGCATATTTACTTTTTTTTTTTTGAATGTATTTTTATTTGTTCTCTTTTAAAATTCTACTGTAAATGAAAAAAAGTACAACTTTATTGGTTGAGTATCTATTGATAACGATGATTGCTTCATTTCATTGTTGTTCTTTGACCTTTCTAAGGTTTCACTGTGTTAAGGATGAAGCTCTTGAAGATAGTTTAGCTTATTCCTTGTGTCCTTTGAACGATATTTATTATATGCATGAATGATGCAACACTAAGCTTGTGGAATTTTGAGGGTACTATTCTTGTTTTCTTCTACTGAGGAGTTGTTCCAATTTCATTCTGATCCTGCTGTGTTGGTGTTGAGCATATTTGAATACCACCGATGATTAACTGATTGTCTTGGTTTAGGATCTCTCTTGTCTCTGTTTCATCATTACGCTCTCTTTCGTTGTACCTGAAACTTTGATACTGTGACCTATTTCATCAGGAAGACCAAAATAAACTTCTATATATCTTTTCGGTTGTGTGCTAAATCAAGAAAATGATGGCTCACTTAAACTCTGCCATTATAGTTATGCTGCTTGTTTAGGCTTCTGTCCACCTCAAAAGTCTTCGTTCTTATGTCTGGACTGCTCTTGCAGGAATTGATGGATTCATTGTGTTGGTTCCTGCCTATGAAAGTAGAAGCTGTGAATACTTGCCTCTCTTTTTCTGGTAGCATTCCTTGGAAAGTAAAGAAACAGAGCCAGACTTTCAATACATCACGAAGGACACTGATGCACAACCTCTTTGAGTCACCTTGGCATGTATGTTCATTTGATTCTGTTTCACTTATTTCATATTTTACTCTGCAACTACAATTTTTATTTAATAGTAGACTTCTTGTCCAGGTTCATGATTTAAGAAAATATAGCTTAAGGGCTTCTAAAGCTGCCGATGTATTAGAGGGTGACAATGGGAAGGAAAAGGGAGGTGGGAAATCTGGAGCACACAGTCCGCGGTCAGATGATAAAAATGTATTTAACATGGATTATGAAGAGAGAATGGAATGGAGGAGCAAAATAAGGGAAGTAATGAGTAAGATTCCGAATGTCGAGGAAGAGGTTGATCCTGAGGAGCGGAGCAAAAAGATTCAAAAACTTTTGGCCGATTACCCTCTTGTTGTTGAGGAAGAGGACCCTAATTGGCCAGAAGATGCTGATGGTTGGGGATTTAACCTTGGTCAGTTCTTCAACAAGATTTCTATAAAGAACGTCAAGAAAGATGATGATGAGAACTATGACAGCGAGAATGAAATAGTGTGGCAAGATGATGATTATATTCGACCCATAAAAGACATAACTTCTGCAGGATGGGACGAGGCAGTTTTCAAGGACATCAGTCCTTTGGTGGTACTTGTGCATAACCGATACAAAAGGTTCTCTCTCATCTTTCATCATAAGCCCCACTCTGTTCGTCAGATAGTTGGTCCGTACATTAGTGTTACCTAGGGTTGAATCCTAGCCTTGAAACAATAAAATGCATGCTTAAATTCTTTTATATTATATAGTCAATATAGTATGTTCGCCGTCGTTGCTTTATCCTTTTTGAAGTCGCTTTGTGTCTGATGCAGGCCGAAGGAAAATGAAAAGATTCGGGATGAACTGGAGAAAGCTGTACACATTATATGGAACTGCAGGCTACCATCACCTCGAGTAAGTAACTTTCTGTAATCCAGTCATGTGCTTGTTTAATGCCATTAACGTTATTAACATAACGTAATAATGCAAAACAGTGTGTGGCTATTGATGCTGTTGTTGAGACTGAATTGGTCTCCACCCTAAAAGTCTCTGTGTTCCCAGAACTAATCTTTACTAAAGCTGGGAAGATCTTGTACCGCGAGAAAGGTAAACGCAAGCCCCCAGTGGCTTTAGTTTCTTAGAAGTTTTCATCCTGTAATGCAGACGATTTGATTCATCTTTGTGATGAAATTGTTTATGGTTGAGAATTATGATCACTTCTGTCTGCTCTCAGTCATTCCTTATTTCCTTTATCATCTTTTACCAGCAATTCGGAGTGCGGATGAATTGTCAAAAATGATGGCATTCTATTATTATGGAGCAGTAAAGCCACCTTGTCTTAGTGACAAAAAGACTCTTGATGAAGATATTCCTTCCTTTTCTCCAAGTAGCAGCAGTGGAAGTATCAGCTAATGAGAGAACATCACGGACTGCCCTCCAAATGAATGAAACGTGGTACCTGTTCATCTCTTTGAACTGTAATGATATATAGGATACTCCAAGCTGGTCAACTCTGTGTGGAACATGCGTCTTCCTCCATACATATGCAGATTGGGAAGAAATCGGTTTTCTTGGTCAAGTCACGCCCAGCGCCCGCTTTCCACTCTGTGATGGAAAGAAATAGATCAGGGATGGCAGAGCCATTCGTCCTGATCTGTTAAAGGATCTGCCAAAAATGCTCCAGTCAGAAATCAAAATCCTACCTTGAATAGCTCCTCAAGTTGCCCTTATACTGAACTGAGCCCATCCAATGATTGACTCATTCTGACAGCTTGGAATGGCATTGGAATCACAGAGGGTCAGGATCCGCTTGGTCCCTTTGTGTTCATCCATACATGTACTGTCTAATTGTACAAGAACATAAATGAAATCAAAGATATGTAAAAGGATACAATTGTATTATTTTCATCATTTAGTGAATACAGCATTTCTGTTTCACCATTCATATTTAAGCACTAATATCTATGATGCACACCTTTTTTTTTTTTATAATATATTTTTGCAAATCCTCTTACACAACAGAAAAACATAACTAAAAGAAAACCCATTTTCTTCCATAAAACAATTGAAGTAAAAAATAGGTTTTTTTTTTTTTTTGGAAGAAACAGTAAAAAATAGGTTAGAACAGAAGAAACTGTGCGCAGAGAAGGCACAAACTAAAACCACGCCTTTTGATAGTCGCCTTGAGTTTTCCACTTTCTTTTCTTTTCTTCTATCATCATCATCCTGAGCCTTGAATCGCTCTCTGAAGTCTGAGCATACGTGAGTCCTCTCTCCTTTACCTTTGTCTGGGCTTTTATCAACTTGTTTACTTCTGAATTTTAGTTGGATTAATCCTTTGGTTATCAATGAAAATCTTGTGTTCATCAATGGGTCCTTTGTTTCTGGTTTTTTTTTTTTTTTTTGTTTTTGTTTTTGGTTAAGGGGTGGTTTAAGATGAAGTATATCATGCTGACTATAATATGTGATTGCGTTCATACATTCCCTCTTGTTTTTTGGTATCATTTTTTGGGTATTGTTTTGGCTGTTGCGTTTGAAAAGGGACAACTTTGTTTCTGGTTTTTCTGTTGGGTTTAGAAATGAATACAATCCACATTGGAATTGCCACCTGTGCTGTAGAACTCAATTACATTGGAATGTTTGCAAAGTAAAAATCTCTGATTTGAGATTGTATTTGATTTGTCATTGTGAGTTTTGATTAGACACTTTTTCTTTTCTGGGTCTTGCACAACCTGTAGCTACATACTCGTTTCATCTTCCGGCAACCTCTTGGCATTTAGAAGCCACACCGGTCTTCTTAAAACCATAATTATCCCCATTTCTTCTTGTGATACTACGACATTTTTATTTGCTCCTAGAAAAAGATTCGGCCTTTGTGTGAGCCACTCACCTTTAGCCTCCTTCATTAGGCGTTTCTCTTCTTCAAATGCTCACCTTTCTCCAACTCTCAGTCCTGAAAAGAATGTTGTGGACATCCTTGAAGAGAGGGGCCTACTTGAGGCCCTCACCGGTGATTCTCTCAGAGACAAAGCATCGACGTGCTCCCTTCGGGTTTACTGTGGTTTTGACCCCACTGCTGACAGTCTTCACCTGAGGAATCTCTTGGGTATAATTGTCTTAACTTGGTTTGTCCGCCTTCGACATCAGGTTGTTGTACTTATTGGTGGAGCTACGGGGCGAGTTGGTGATCCTTCTGGCAAGAGCACTGAAAGGCCCGAGCTTGACATTGAAACCCTTGAAAACAATATCGCAGGAATTTCGGCAACTATTCGGAACATCCTTGGAAGGGCCGCTGCTGGAAATGAAGGCAGTTCGAAAAAAATGTTGCTGTTTTAAATAATTATGACTGGTGGAATGATTTTAGTCTTTTGGATTTCCTGAGGGATGTTGGGAAGTTTGCTAGGGTTGGGGTGATGATGTCAAAGGAAAGTGTAAGGAAGCGGCTTGAATCCAGAGATCAAGGGATGAGCTTTACCGAGTTCACGTACCAATTGCTTCAAGGTTATGACTTTGTCCATCTCTTTCGCAATGAAGGGGTCTCCTTTCAGATTGGTGGCAGTGATCAAAAGTCATAACCAGCATGTTCCAGTATATTAAGATTGATGTTGTCCACTTCCTTGTTTGTTAATTTTTTTTTTTCAGTTTGGCTATAATAAGTGTATTTGCTGTCCCTTCTTTTCCTTGCATTTGCATATCAATATCTGAAAAAATTGATGCGGTAAGATAGTGGTATGTGTCTAGAATAAGCAGCTTTTTCTGGCTTTGATCTGGATCTTTGAGTTCTCAATACAATTTCTGTATCGTCTCTGAAACCTCCTTTTTTCGGGAATTTGTTACCCCTTGCAATACAATTGTTGCATTGCTATGCCGGTGGCAATTGAGAAGTTTTAACAGAAAGCAGCTCTAGGTCGGACTTGAAATCTCCAACAGCTGAATCACACCAGTTATATTGTATGTAACTTTTAATGAATATATACTTGGAGAAATGGTTCAAACTTCAATTTTTGCTTGCAATTTATTTTAAAAATCTTATTTGAACTCTCAATTGTTAATATTTTTAAATTTTCTTTTATTTGTGATCTCATTGATGTAAACTATAATTGATGATTATAAAAGATGGTGGAACTTGCATAATAAACTAGTTATTATGAACATTACAGCAACAGAAGGCTTTATGGTAATGGAACCGGAAGGCAAAGAGCTGGAATGGGTTGGAGCCATCAAATCTGCAGTCAGCAATACCTACTACGTGTTTCTCTGCCTTGCCATTTGGAAGGACTGTCAGGCATTTTCCTGTACGACGATTGACCCAGTATCGGAATTCACGGTGATTTAATTCCTTGGGAGGATTGAATGATTTCCAGTCTGCATCGCCCAAATCATCTAGCGAGCTCAAAGAACGGAGTCTCACTTTACCCTGCTGGTCCACTGTCAGGTAGCTTTGCCCTTGTGAACATTTGTCCATATAGTTCCTGAATCTGTGGCACGGCATAAGATAGGATTACAGATCTCTTTTTTAAAGGGGCCGGCAACTTTATTAAGACTACTACAATCTACATAATCACACGATCCTCATTACAAATTTTCTGTTAATATGTTTCTTTGATTTGAAAAATGAAGTTACCTATGGTAACCCGAAACTGAACCTGAAGTTGATTCCCAGCCATAGTAAGTGTTGTATTTTGAAGATTCACCACCTTTTATGTCTGGTACAGAATAGACACCTCTGTCTTCCGAGCTAACAAAGTCAGATTGCAGGGCTCCGGCAATCAGAGAGTCATCATGTGCGGTCATGTGGGGGTATGACTCGGTTGGAGGGCACTTGATTGTTTCACATCCCGAACACTGGTTACAAAGGAGTTCACTCTTCAGCCCTAGTGCTCCCTTAGCAGCAAAGGTGAAAATGACGCTCAGCAGTAGCAGCAGAAGACGCAGATTCCCACAAGACATGCTTCTGGCTTCTATATTTTGTCCCAGCCTCACTATCTGGACGATCCCAAATCAATGGCCTAGTTGCGTTTATATGAGTTAATGCTTGTGTTTTTCTTGCTCCTAGGTTTCATCGACATGATTTAGACCTTTTCATTGTGTTGTGGATTGTTTTCTATCCCAACTGGAGTAAAACACAGAGAAAGACAATGGTGAATGAGGTAGTTAACCACATTGGAGCTGTTCCATGCATTTGTTTCATGGTGAAAACAGTTGCCCATGCATTCATCCCTTTCGGACATATCTCTCAACGCTGGTTGATCTAGAAACTGCTGGCTAAGTTAGTGTATGGCAAAGATTGGTATCTTGTACCAAATACTAGAAAGGGGGAAAAACGAAAAACAAAGAAAAGATTGATATCATCTATTGACAGGCTGAACTGCATGTTGCAGTATGTATATTATGTTGTCTTCATTGTAACAGCCAATGCAACCCAGATTCTCTCTCTTTTCCACAGAATTAGTTCTTCCAATGAAAAACTCAATGCAATGTCTTTTTGTGATTATTTATTTATTTATTTATTTTTTTAATTGTTGACAGGATATCTTACCAGTAATGTTCAACTACCTAGACTCAGGTTTCATTGTTCTCACTTCTCAAGTTCGCTAATGGGTTGATTTTCTTAAAAATTTGTGTTGGCTCTTTTTAAACTTCCAGCTGGATCATTAAGCCAATAAGAAGCTAGTTCTTTGATGATATTGATACGTATGATCCTAGTGAAGATGGGATCAAAGTACTATTATCACTGGTGTAGGGGTCAACTTTGCTGGGAGGTGTTAGTAATCTATTTGCAGTCACATGATCAAACATTATTTCTTCTTATGTAACCAACCAGTACAAGTTTATCAAATATAAGAACTCTTTTACGTTCTGAAGTAAGGTATATTCCAAACAGCATATGCTTTCCTTGAAGAGCTCATTATGTGGAATCTTGATTTGACTACGAGCCAGGAAGCTATTAGTAATGTTATGACTATGTATCTCTCTTCCTAGCATGTAAAATCGACTAGTTGATTGATGCATAAGTTGCTTTCTTACGGGCACGTAAGAAAAAACCTTATAGAAATAGCTGCTAAAACTGAGGAATTCACATTTTGGAGTTATGAATGTGTTTGTTGATGGTCCATCTAACCAACTTACTTCTTTGCTTCAAGTAGTAATGAATTCAAACCCCATTCTTGGTTAGATGATCATCAACAAACTTATTCAAAGCCCCCATTGTATTTTTTTTTTTTTGTTTATCTGATATACTTCTAGCTATAGGAGAACAAGAACCAAGTGCATTTTTACCCAGCTTTGTTAAGAAAGTAATTTGTTTTTCAACTTTTTTTACTAACTGATCTCATTCTTCTTATGTTTGAAGGGAATACTGAGAATCAAAACAGGATAAGATGATGTGATATTTACATTTGGAGCAAGTTGCAGCAGCCCCTATATTTTAAAAACCGGATACAAAATCAACAAAAAACAACATTAGAATATTCAAGCTTGGGAGGGGAACTTATGAGAATAAGCTGAAATATAGTATCATACCACCTAGTATATGTTCTTTTGCAGATGTGTATTTCCTGAATTCATCAGGCACCTGTCACACACGAGAAGAGTCTATGGCTCCTGAAACGCACGAGTTTCTTGGCCGGGCGTTGGTGGTGAGGGGATAATGCAATAGCATTATGATGATACACATTAGGAGAGAAACCAAAAGCAGCCCGCCTGGTGTGATGATCATCCTGCTGGAAGGATTTATGTCGACGGTGTTGTCCCTTAACCTTACCAACCTCTGCATATCCATCTTGTCCATCTCTGATCACATATTCACCATTAGTATAAAAGTCAGCAATGTTGTATCCTTGAGCTTCTGTTGCATGTTCTTCTGCTGCAGATGGCGAGAGATATTCATAGTGGCGCCGCGTTCTGCTTCTCTTGATGGTTTTAAACACCATCGGAATCAGGCCTTCCATTGATGATGATCACAACTGTGCTCTTGTGGATGGTTTTGGAAGGCTTCTTTTTTTTAGTTTTGTTTGGAATGGTTTGGAAGCCAGCTTTGAAAGGGTTCTTTTTGTGGTTTGGTAAGAGAGTGTGAGTTGTTGAGTTGGAAGACTTTTGTTTTTGGGATACAAAATTTTCAAAGTCTGTGAATTTCCTTATGAATGATGATGATGATGATGATGATGATGATCTGGCTGCTTAATGTTGTTAGTTGGAAACATTATCAAATCATATAGCTTAGTCTTTTGGAGTTGGTTTGGTTTCTTCCTTTGACTTTATTGACACACAAAAACAAAAACTTCTTCTCCTCCTTTGTTGTTCTTTGTGTCATTTGTTTAATCACAAACCTAGTTTGGTTTTTCATAGGACTCCTTCATAATACTATTGTTAATGTTATCTTCATCCACCAACATGGAACTTTTTATTTCATTTTCTTCTCAACCAAGTTGAGATTAAGCATTACAAAATCACAACCACCTTTTTGGTGACATCAAATTTTGCTTGATTGTTTGGATTTTCCAATGAGGAAATTTGGTTCATCTATAGAAATGAAAAGGTGCATGATTATGTAAGGTTAAGATGAAAAACCCTTTAACAAACACAAACACACACACACAAGGAAGGAAAACTTGGGGATTATGTTGGAATGTTCTTCAAGATTTCCAACTGCAATCCATCAAAGAGTACAAGGCAGAACAAACTTGTGATTGAGACATTTGCTTTATTATTCATTTGGATGGTAGGCTAATTCAGAATCTAGAATTTTCAGGCAGAAAAAAGAATAATGTATGTGCATTATTAGCTCCAGGGAAGAAGCTAAGAAATAAATTAATCTTTGTAGGTACATACAATTCTTGTTGTGTAAAAGAATAATCAAACAGAACCTAAAATAAAAATTAGGACAGACAGCTTTATGATTATATACTAGTAATTATTTGTTGGTTGACTGGGTCTATTATGCTTCCATCACCAGAGAGACCAATTGCAGTTTGCGGAAGTCTTTATCATTTCGTTCCATTGCTCGACAACTACTCCCCCCAAATTTCTAACTCAGGAGTGGCTGTCCTAATTAGTATTTTTCTCCCGAAATAATTATCCGTTTAGATATTTAAATTAAGTACAAAGAATAGAAAAATTATTAAGTGCAGCTGTTGTTGTATCCTGGTTTTTTAGTGCAGCAAGTCAAAATGAGTTTATGTTGTTATAATGAATTATAGAAGAAGCTTGGGGCAGAGTATCTTGCTTTCATCTACTTGTAAATGTTTTTATGCCATTCAGTTCAGTGTATCAAAATATGGTGATATTTGTAGAGTAAAAGTGTTCTACGGAGCCAAGGAAGAAAGTGAAAATAAATAAATAAATAAATAAAACAGTCTTCAAGGTTTTTTTGGAAAATGCAGTACTTGTTTGGACAACGTGTTGTTTTAGTTTTTGATTTGAATTTGAGAAGAGATTTAAAAGGTAGTTTAGTTTTTTATTTAGAAAGTATTATAGTATAGTGACCATTTATAAAATTATAATAGTTCATCAACCAAAATGAAGATTTTACAATAATATAACAACCAAACACAAGACTTTATAATAGTTCAGTGACAAAACACAACACTTTACAATAGTTTAGTAACCAAACACAATGAAGACTTTATAATAGTTCAGTGACCAATACGAAGAATTTTACAATAGTGTAATGACCAAACACAACATTTTAAAAGGTAAATTAAAAAGTTGTTTGGATGGCGTTTTTTTTTTTCATTGAGTTTTGTGTTTAAGAGGTAAAATGAGTGAAAATAAAAAATGAGTTATTGGACAAACAAACACACACACGTTTGCAATAACTGTTTTCTTCAACTAGATGTCAAAATTTTTCTATAGCAAAAGATAAATTTATTAAAACACTCCCTCCAGCCTTTAAGCCTTGAAGACATGCATATTCTTTTTCATCATTTACTGTATAATTTTCTTTATTTCTTAATTCTTTACCTACTCCACCTTGGCTGAGTGGTCATTTCAACACCCCCAACAAAGAAAAAAAAGGGGAAAAGAAAAAAAAAAATCTTATCAAAAGATACATATGTAAAACAAAGATGTCCAATCCACTTGATTTACAACTTTAATTAGAAAGTCATGATCCTCAAAGACCAAAATAAAACTAACTTGCGGTTAGCACAAGTATGCATGTTCTTCATGATCGCAGCAGGAAGAGTACTGATGGCACTTCCTTTTGCATGAACAAACTGCCACACATTACAAGGGGTAAAAATACTTCTCCAACACGCAGTTTCCGCGCAAAAAATACCGACAAGGACCATCCTGTAAGGCAGAAAATGCAGGAAATCATGTAGGCATTGCAAAATGGTCACAATTAGATATCTGAAATTGATCCATTCTTTTTCAGAAGTACTCGAAAGCTTCCATTGCAGAAGAAGTAAGCTTTATGATACTACTTGTTCATGAAAGCGGATTTTCTCTGTACCTGCCAAAACCAATCAGCGCACAGCAGTTGAGTTTGATGACATGAATGATGAAATGTAGACCTGTTTATGTGCAATGATGAAAAAGGGGGAAAAAAAAAATGAACAGGGATTTTTAGGCACTCACAAGTTGGATTGGAAAGAGCATGCAGGCAGCTGCTAATCAAATTGAACTTTTTTGAGCAATCTTCTTGACCCACTCTGAGTAAGTTCCTTCGAACCAGTAGTTTGACAGAAGGGGACAATACCTGATGACCAAAGTTTGTAAGTTGGTGAGGCGCTTCATTGCAACCGCGGAGGATAATTGCTTGAGGTGTTTGCAACTCGAAATTTTCAACCTCTGAAGACGTTCTAAGTTCCCCAACCACTCTGGAAGCGTCTCCAACCCATCAAAACCATCTATACATAAGTACGTCAACAATGTCGCATCTTGAATTTGATGAGGGAGGGACTTGACTTTTTCATTTCCACGTGCATACAATTCGAGGGATGTAAGAGAGTTAGAACAACTTGTAGCATTGGAAATGATTGGATAGGGCCAGGGCAGATGGTCAGGTTGCTGATCCTTCCCTAAGAATGTTGAACCCAGGGCTAATGTCCTAAGGTTGCTGTGGCGGTTCAGATCCTTAGGCCATGAATCAGGATGGCAGTAGTCGATATTTAAGGATTCAAGAGCCAAACTCGAGATGAGGCTGCAAAACGGTGCAGTAAACTTGTCGCAGCTACTGATCTTCAGTTCTCGTAGAGATGGGAAGTGATATTGGATTTCTTTATTAACCCCAACATCTTCCTCATCATCAGGTGAATGCCATTGCCTTTCATCATGATTTTCAAAAGTTTGAGGGGACCCATGCCCTTTATTGAGTTTATTCCAATCCTCATATGCAACTGTCAAATTCTTACAGCGTTCTACAAACAATTCTTGAAGATTTGGCAGGCCACCCAAGTTTGGAAAAATCTTCAACTTACTTAGATCCCGTAAAACCATCTTCTCAAGCAGAGGAAATAGTTTCACTTGAATGGATGATGAATGTGTTGTCGGAATCATTTGCATTGCATCAGTCCACTCCTCCAAACTTTCCATGTCATATAACTCAAGTCTCCTCAATGCAGGAAACACAGTGATGGTCCTGCTGCTATTTATTGTTTTCCAATTAAAATCTAATAAACCGTAGAATTCTTTTCCTATGCTCTTCACGCTGGGTAACTTACTTATCTCTACACATTCAAGAAAAGGCAAGCCTCCAAGTGATGGGAGTGTTTTGCTCCTGAAAAGCCACTCTAGTTTCAGCTGAACCAAATTGCTGAGTATGAATGAACCATTTTTTCCCATCGTCATCCAGGATGGAAACTTTGGACTCTGATAACCATAGATACTCAAATTTTTCAGACTTGAATGAGGTTTTAAACTCTCCATGACGTCAAGATCGTCACGAACTCCCCAAATGCTGCTCCACCTAAGCTTTAAAGTTTGAATGCTTGATTTACTTGACAATGTTGACTTGGCTGCAGATTCACAGCTTTTAACATTTTCAAGGTCTAGTATGTTCAGTTCTCTAAGGTTGTCTAAGTGTTCTAACTCTCCAATTTGACATCCCTGGGCTTCACCCACCTTAAAGTAAGATAATGTTTGAAGATTTTTCAATTGACATAATCCTAAGAGAGGACATTTAGGTAACATGTCCATGTGAAGATGCCTCAAGCTGATTAAATTACCAAAGGCCTCTGGCAGCTCTTGAAAATGCCCAACTTTCAAGGTTTGCAAAAGGTACAACTTTGTGAAGGACTTTGGGAGCTTTGTTATCTTAGTGGCGCTGATGTCAAGAAATCTTAAATGCTTTATCAAACCAATTGAATCAGGTAATGTACGTGCACATATATCTTCAATAATCAAAACTCGGAGACATGTCAAGTTTTCAAAAAAATCATCAGACAAGTCAAAGCCTATACCTTTCAGATAAAGAGTCCTCAGACTTGAGGGAAAAACACCTTTCAAGCTGTTATGCATCCTGTCCCTTGAATAGATTGATACATGCATAGCTTTAACTTGATTGCTTTCGACCTTTGGACCTTCAATATGAAAGCAATGATCATCGAACACTTTCAGTGAAATGTCATGGACGAGGTCATGCATCTTATAAGCCGTGATATTATTGTCGTCATCCTTTTCAGCAACTTGGAACAAAGAACTCCTTTGAAGAACGTTACAATAGGTGATGCCTATGTCTTCCATTTCAAATAGGCTTCCCTTTGGAGGATTTAGCAGGCCATGTGCCATCCAGAATCGTATAAGTTGATCTTTTTTCAAGGTGGTGTCTTTCTGAAAAATGGCACAATGTGCAAGACACTGTTTGATTGACAATGAAGGCAAATGATTGAAACTTAATTTGATGGCAGCAAGAACTCTATCTCCTCCACTGTTTGCGTTCCACATTTCACTTTTTTCAATCACTGACCACTCTGCTTCAGAAGTCTTACAGTAAAGTGAGCATCCTATTATCTCAATAGCTAGTGGAACACCACCACATCTTTCTACTATCCTTTTACCAATATCCACGAATTGTGGGGTACTAGTAGCACCTCTCTTCGCGAATGCACATTTTACAAACAGTTCCCAGCTCTGTTCTTTTGAGAGTCTATCAAGCCGATGACATTCAGATGATCGCAAAGCTAAAGCAACATCCTCAGCACGTGTAGTGGTCAAAATCCTACTCCTTTTAGAACCTCCAACTTCTAGCAAGCAAGCCATCATGTGATCCCACTCATCTCCTTTATTGTTCCAAACATCATCAAGTACAAGCAAATAGTTTTGATTCCTCAGTTGCATTTTCAACTTGTTTACTAGAGCTTCCGTACTTGTCAATTGGTGGTCTGTACCTGTAAGAGACTGTAACATCTCACCTAAGAGTCTAATGACATTAAAATTGTCAGAGACACAAACCCAAGCTAATTTGTTAAAGTGCCGTTTAACTGTCTCATTTTTGTAGATCAGCTGAGCCAAGGTCGTCTTCCCTAGACCTCCCATAGCTAGAATGGTAATGACTGGTAGCTCCGCCTCATAGTTTGTGCTAGTTAGCAAGCTAACCATTTTTGAGACATCATCCTCCCTCCCCACGATCTTTGAATCATTCACGAAAGGATTGGTTGACCTTTCGTCCTTTAAGTCAGGAACTGACTTTATGTACTCTAGTGGCATAAGGCCAATATCACTTGCTTCTGCAAGAAGCACTTCTAAGGATGACAGAACAGCCTTGATCTTATGAGCCATGGTCAAACGAAATGAAAGAGGATTTGAGGATGAGAAAAAGGTGTCTAACTTGTCCCTCTTTCGGCACTTTATCTTTTCACGAAGAACTTCATACCTAAAATCATCCAACACGATTTCAGCATCAAGAGAAACGAGGTGGAGCCTGTTTAGCCAAAGTTGGAAGACTTTGCTAGTTAATTGCTTGCTTTGAGCATCATCCAGCAATGATTGAATCATCTCCAACTTGTCAGCAAGCTTTCTGAGTTGTTTGTCCATACCCCAAGCAAGACCTATCTTTTCAGCAGCAAGTTCCAGAACTTTGTTTAACACAGAACCGATAACAACTCCAACTATCCTATCAGCCATCTGTAAGGTGCAAATTTATCAGAAAACAGTGGACTTTTTTAGCTAGGGTTTTAGTTCACAAAGAGAATCAAAGACAAAGGTAAAAAGAAGTTTGTGTTGAACCAAAAACAAGATCAGCAACGAAATACTACAACTATGTTATGTGCATTAGGAGAATGCCCAATTTTGGCATTCCCAAGAGATCAAATTTAGAAGGCCAATGTAATTGGCATCCCCAAATCAATCATACAGAGGAACATTTCCTTTTTTTCGGGTATCCTAATCACAGAAAACAAATCAAACCGAAGGCAGATTCTACTTCTCCAAGTTCATCAAAAGCTTTCTAAGAAAAGATTTCATGCCTTTCTAAGTTCATAAATCAACGTTGTACGCAATTCTCCTACTACCATCAGCATAATTGAGATAATAAGTTACACGATTCAAACAAATGTAGGAATTCTATTAAAAAATGATGAAATAAAAAAACTGCAAAAAAATGAGGCAAATTTTTACACATACCTACCTTTGTTGACGAACCAAAACAGAAGCTTTCTATAATCTTCTCCAAAGAGAAATTCACCAAAAGATGCAAACTTGAAATTGAAAAGAAACCCCCTTTTCTCTTCTTCTGGGGGAAAAGAAAAAAAAAACGGTTATAGATTACTTGTGAAGTTGAAAGAGTGAAAATGACGCAGTGGGCTTCAGAATGATTGTAAGAAAATGAAGAACTTAGGCTGGGACAGCAGAAAATTCATGTAGCACTAAGTCTTGGGATCAATGGGAAATTAGACCCAACATTTTCATCCACCTGCTGCATTACTCGGTCATTTCCAATGGATGGAATTATTCTTCAATTATTGAGCCCCAACAAAAAAAGGTCAATGCATATAATATTTCTCAATTTCAACCATTTCCACTTGCGCCAGGCAAATACGTTTCATTGTACTGAAAGATGGAGAGAGAGCAACAAGTCTTAATATCACTTATTAGTTTCAAATCCAATGGATGATCAACCATTCAAAAAGTTACTGGTTACTTCAAACCTTTATTTTTCCAAAAGTGAAAGACTGGAGCTTTGCTCAAAGAAGCAATCACATTCCCTTGTTTTAATATGTTGTTTATAATACAGAGATTTAGCGTGTCTCGTGGACCTATATGAGATTGTCCATCAGATCAGATCAGATCATGAATGTTCTGTAATTCTGTGTAGGAAAAAAAGACATGTTTTTAGATTATGGACATAGTTTTAATTGTAATTCAAAATCAAGTGTCACAAAAATTCATCTTTTTGTGTATTGATGTACGAAAAGGATTATTCAAACATGGGAATCTGGTGGAATGTAATGAGAGGTGATGATCAAATATCGATTCTCAATAGACAAAATCCCTTTCAAATTTTGATCAGGAGACGTACAAGTCTGGACCATGGAAATGGAATAGAAAATGAAATATGAAAGCAGCTCCTTTGATATTCTTTTTTAGGTGGTCTTTGTATTCACATATATGTATAATGATTACTCTTCACTTTCACAACTCAAAAGGGCCTCTTCATTGTTCATACACTTGCACCATCATCCCTTCCCATTTTGGACTGCTTTCATCTCTGCAATTGAAGAAAACCCATGTTGGACTCAACTGTATTCTAGGTATGTACAGTTGCTCACTTCTTCTTAACCACAACTCTGTCAAGTTTCAAATTTGATACACATTTTCCCATTTTCTTGTGTCCTAGAGAATTTTTCTTTATAATGGGCTGTTGAATTCTGTCTCTCCAGCACTTGTGTGAACCATCTTTGTTTCCATTCTGTTTTATTGGCTTTCTCCACTTTATAGTAAGGAGGATGGGAATATCTGTGAATCCTCTTGTTTTGCATTTCTTGTGCATCTCTGCATCAGTGTATGATGTTTCTTCTTTGAATTCCGAGGGGCAAACTCTGTTATCGTTGCTCAGATATTGGGATGTAGTTCCTCCCATCCCATCAACCTGGAATGCTTCCCATTCCACTCCTTGTTTCTGGGATGGAGTGATATGTGAGACTGACTTTGTGGTTTCTTTGAACCTTTCGGATTACAACTTTTCAGGTCAACTAGGACATGAAATTGGTGACCTTAAACACCTGAGATCAATCAGGTTAATATGGAATAACTTTTTTGGTTCAATTCCTTCACAAGTAGGAAACTGCACTCTCCTTCAGGAATTGTGGTTGTCACAGAACAGCTTCACTGGGAGAAATATCAGAGAGCATTGCAAACTTGCAGGATTTGGAATCCTTACACTTACATGGGAATTCACTTGTTGGTCATATGCCTAATTGGCTCTCCACATTGGAGAGACTATGGAATCTTGATTTGTCAGAAAACAAGTTCACTGGCATGATTCCGCATTGTCTATGGGATATGAGCAAACTCAAGATTTAGATATTGGAAGAGAATGGATTCCATGGGATGATTCCGACATGTTTTCCAAAACAGCAGTTCTTTAATTTTCCTGTCTCTAAATGGAAATCAGTTTGAAGGGCCATAGCCAGCTTCTCTCTGCAAATTGGAGAAGTTGGAGTATCTTCATTTGGCTTGCAACAAGCTGAACGGTAAAATTCCCGACTGTTTTTGGAAGATGAGCAAACTCGGATTGTTTGATGTTTGAGGGAATGGCTTTCATGGGATGATACCCACAAACTTTCCCAATGCCAATGCTTTGACCTTCATTGCTCTAAATGGCAATCAGTTTGAAGTACCATTGCCGTCTTCTCTTTGCAAATCAGTTTGAACAAGTTGACTGGCACAATTCCTGACTGTTTTGGGAACATGAGCAAACTCATAATGTTGGACTTGCAAAGCAATCGCTTCCATGGAACGATTCCATCAAGTCTTCAAAAGGTGAATACCCTGACGTTTCTTGCTCTGAGTACCAATCAATTTGAAGGAGCACTGCCTTCTTCTCTCTGCACGTTGGAGAACTTGGAGGATCTTCTGCTGTCTGACAACAAGTTCACTGGTACAATTCCTGACTTTTTTGGAAACATGAGCAAGCTCTCAGTGTTGGACTTGCGAAAGAATAGCCTTCGTCGGATGATTACAACAAATTTTCCTGAAGGCAGCCGTTTGAGTTTCCTCAGTCTAAGTGACAACCAACTAGAAGGTCCTTTGCCGAAATCTCTGCTCAACTGTAGTAGTTTTAAAATTCTCAATGTAACATCCTGTCCCACATTGCTACCTGGCAAATTGAATGACCTGTTTATAAGTCTCAATCTCATAAACTACTAAAAAACTTGGGTTAATCATTTTAGGCCAGCGAGTACGAAAGTCTAAAAATTGTTGGGCCAGTCTATGAGGCTGAGATGTTACAAATGGTATCAGAGCGGACCCTGGTCTAAGAGTTAAGTTCTACGTGTGGACACACCTCTGAACCCACTGACGGGACAAGTGCAGAGACACCTCTGAGCCTGCAGACGGGACAAGTGCGAAGCACGGAAGCCACCTCTAGAGTCCTATTCTGGGGAAGACTGGGCGGCACTTTTGCTTGTTGGGCTTAGACGCAAAGATCCAAAGGGGGTGGGCTGTAATATCCTGTCCCATATTGCTATCTAGCAAAGTGAATAACATGTATAAAGTCTCATGCTCATAAACTACTAACAACTTGGGTTAACCATTTTGGGCCATCGAAGACGAAAGCCTGAAAGTTGTTGGACCAAGACTGACTCAACAAACTAGATATTCATTCTCTTTTCCCTATGTAATCAAGCTGTAATGTTGCATTCTTTTGGTATGAATTCATGCTCATTCAGGCACTTATATATCTCTAAGTCACTTTTGATTTTTCCTAGAGGTATCTTTATGAACTCAATTAAACTATTTTCCAATGATTAATCAAGTCATAAAGTCATTAAGTTTTCAAGCCTTACATGAATGCTTATACTAACCAAGTATATTCCTATCTCAATTAGAACCTTGGACTGTTACCTCCAAGTCATAAGTTGAAGCTGAAATCTATCCAAACCAAGTTTATCTTTCCAGATCTCCCCCTAGTTCTAGCATGCATTCAATTAGTGATCAAGTAATCGAATGCAGAAAAACTTCCAACTTCAAAACATGTATTCAACAAGTGCATTACAACCTTAAATTACATAGGTTCCAGAGAATGAAATCTCACTAAACCCTAAACCCTAAACCCTGAGCTCATTGACGGGAGAAGTGTAGAGACACCGTCGAGCCTGCAGACGGGACAAGTGCAAAGCACGGGAGCCACCTCTAGAGTCTTATTGCAGGAGAAGACTGGGCTATATTCTTACTTGTTGGGCTTTGCGAGGATGCAAAGATCCCAAAGGGGTGGGCTGTAACATCTTGTCCCACATTGCTACTTGGCAAAGAGAATGACCTGTATATAAGTCTCAGCCTCATAAACTACTAAAAATTTGGTTAACCATTTCAGACTAGCGAGGATGAAAGCTTGAAAGTTATTGGGCCAGTCTATGAGGCTGGGATGTTAAAATGGTATCAGAGTGGACCCTGGTCTAGGAGCTAAGTGTTATGTGCAGACACACCTCTGAGCCCACTGACGGGACAAGTGCAGAGCCACCTCTGAGCCTGCAGACGGGACAAGTGCGAAGCACGGAAGCCACCTCTAGAGTCCTATTCCGGGGAAAGACTAGGTCACATTCTTGCTTGTTGGGCTTTGTGAGGACGCAAAGATTCAAAGGGGTGGGTTGTAACATCCTGTCCCACATTGCTACCTGACAAAGTGAATGACATGTATATAAGTTTCAAACTCATAAACTAATAACAACTTGGGTTAACCATTTTGGGCCAACGAAGACAAAAGCCTGAAAGTTGTTGGACCAGTCTATCAGGCTGGGATGTTACCAATGGTATCAGAGCGGACCTTGGTCTAGGAGCTAAGTGCTACGTGCGGACACACTTCTGAGCTCACTGACGGGACAAGCGCAGAGATACCTCTGAGCCTGTAGACAGGACAAGTGCGAAGCACGGAAGCCACCTCTAGAGTCCTATTCTGGGGGAAGACTGGGCCACATTCTTGCTTTTTGGGCTTTGTGAGGACGCAAAGATCCAAAGGGGTGGGTTGTAACATCCTGTCCCACATTGCTACCTGACAATGTGAATGACCTGTATATAAATTTCAACCTCATAAACTAATAATAACTTGGGTTAACCATTTTGGGCCAGCGAGTACGAAAGCCTGAAAGTTGTTGGGCCAGTCTATGAGGCTGGAATGTTACACTCGACATAGGACAGAATAATATAAGGGATACTTTTCCAGCATGGTTAGGAGCTCTTCCAGAGCTTAGTGTTGTTATAATGAAATAGAATCATTTCCATGGTACAATTGGAACTATTTCAGATACATCATTTCAGAAGTTGAAAACTCTGGACATATTATACAATCAGTTCAATGGTTTCCTACCAGCAGAAATGATGGATTTGTTTTCAAGCTATGAAGAAGAATGAAAGTTTAACACGGTTAGACATAACAGACCACCCATATTATGAGGATTTTGTGTCTTTAGTGATAAAAGGGCTTGAGCTAGAGGTAAAGTCAGTTTTAAACATTCTCATTGCCATTGATTTCTCTGAAAATGATTTTGAAGGAAGTATTCCAAAGTCAATTGGGGAGCTAAATGGGCCTCTTGTTGCTGAATTTTTCGCGCAACCAATTTGATGGTGTCATCCCATCAACAGTTGGGAACTTATATACTCTAGAATCATTAGACCTTTCTGGGAACCAACTATCTGGCAACATTCCAGCTCAACTAGCTAATCTCAATTTTCTTCAAACCTTGAACCTTTCTGAGAATCGGCTAGTGGGAAGGATTTCGACAGGTGCACAACTTAACACGTTTACCAACGATTCATATGGTAGAAATCAAGGATTATGTGGTTTTCCATTTGACGAGTCCAAATAGTATGGCCCGCAACTAGGCCGGCCCAAGTTCGGCGAAAGATCTAATCGACCCCTGGAAGTTTCTAGGTTGGTCTTTAATTACTTTCCTACCAAGAAAGGGTTTCATAACCTAGTTTTACAAATAGGGATCAACCCTTCACATTAAAGGTACGCTCTACGCACCACAGTCCATACCCCTATTACAATTACTCTTACTGACTTAAGTATCAGAGTGTCTACTATCGGGGGACCCCGGGACCCTATTTTGCAGGTTTTAGAGTTTTGATACTGCCATGGTCGCCGGTTCAATCAACTGGAAACGGCGGTACAGGTTCATGTTTCGTCAAGTGGCACGCCCAATGGGACCCGATTAGGGTTTCCCTTCAACGAACCTCTAACGAAGGAATTGAAATTGGATCGACCCTCTCTTTTTAATTATTGATGGTGGGGGCAGAGGATGACTTTCGTGAAATCTTATTCAAATCCGGCACAATATTGGCCGAAAGATGGCATCCAGGTTTATGAGAGATTTTGGACATCATCATGCTTGGCAATATATCCTCGATTGCAGCTGTAGTTGCATACGATGTGGCAGGGCTCCAATTTGTCTAATTATATAAAGAGAAGCATCAAATCGAATTCCTTGATTTAGGATTTCAGTTTTTCTCATTTTAACTTTTGGTACTAACCATTTATGTGAGTTGAGTATTTTAAAAATTTTTTTTGCAAGAACACAAAAACATGCGCGGTCCTCGACAGTGCAATGCCACTCGGGGTAATCCAGAGATAAAGCACCTCTCGAAATGATGCAAACTCTCAAATGCCGCGAGACGATCCTATAGCAGAGGAGAGAGTCCTTCTACAATATGACCTTACCCAAGAAGTCTCATCCTTAGACTATAAAATAATTCGTCCAATGAGCGACAAGCTACTCCTAACATAGATTCGAAAGTCAGATAAGTGTTATACTTTACTCCTATAATATTGGCTCCTGACCGCATATAATTCTGCTTATATTGTTACGATGGTGCATCAAACCTGCTTGTTTTTAATATTTAACACTCTTGGATGTTTTGGTGACCAGATGCCAATGTTGCACCTTTTAACATAGGTTTTTTAATCCTATATATGGGTATAATTGTTTTATTCTCACCAGACATGATTTTTTACAATAAATCTTTTGAGTTTCATGGTTGACTAAGGAAACTGTTGTCCATCAAGTTTGGAGAAGCTTCACAACATCCTCGAACTAAATAAAACTGAGATGCAAATAAGCCAACGAAGGCTATATAGTCTTTAGTTATATCAAAAATCCAAGCAGCCCCAACCGCTCGACAAGGATTTTAAATTTTTGTAGGTCTTACAATTTGAGTAGCAATCTTCTTCAACTATGAAGCGACTCATCCCAAGAGGCAATAATCTGCTCGAACAACTCAGATAACCGTTAAGTTTGTTCCAACTTTTCACTATGGGAAATTTCTCTTCCATCCCAAGACTCATACATTAAGCATTTTATCTGAAAATGCTGGCAATAATATATCCTTCGATGTATTCATGAGAACTATATGCAATTTGCATGACAACGTTCTTTGATATGCCACATGACTTATACATGCAACACTAATTGTCAATTACATGCTCTCCAGATACTAGAGCCTTTCAAATAAACTGTAAATGTTTGAAAATATCGCACATGCATATTTTTGTGTCATCCCCTGATCCACTCAGTCGATTCATCGAGGCTGAGATGGACTCATAAATCGAGGACCAAGTTTCACTGAGTTAATCGTTAACCTATTCTCCATGCACGTAATGTGTGAATTTGCTAGTTTTTGTATCATTACATTTATGATGAGCCATCATCTAGCCCTCACATGCATCAATTCTTAAGATAGAATCATAGTCATGACACCTATGCTTTCTCGAGCGGAGTTTGATTGCTATTTACGATCTAGGTTTCGATCATAGCATGTCATGTTGTTTGCCTCCATACTTCTCGAAAAGTTGTTAATCCATGATCTTGAGAACATTAATGTAAGGCCTTCTATCATAACGGCATACTCGATTTTTGGGAGAACCACTACTTATTTTTCCAGAACTTGCAAAAGTGCGAGACGAAGATAGCTCCTCTGTGACACAAGCATGTAATCAGACCATAGCAACCTCAAACAAATAAAGCACACATACACGGTGCATGTCAAGAATGAGCTCCGTCGACAACAATAAGGAGTTTCTTGACAAATAAGTATTACCGCTTTAACTTGCGGATACCCTTGGAAGAGTGCCAAGAGATAAGTGATACACTCTCCTCATAATATTATTGCCTAAATATATGAAGTATCTGCATCATAACATGAATGTTACGATA